TATTAATGAATTCTCTTCCAAGTTTGCATACAACAATTCGGTTATATGTTTCTTAAAAGGAACCGTTTTCTTATTTCAACTAAATTGAGCAACTAATAATTTATAGAACTAAGGTATAAAATATTTTACTATTATTGTGGAGTTTTATCAAGATTCGGAATAATCAACTCTTTTTTATTTATTTTAAATTTTGTTGTGATTTTTGCTTTATGATAGGAAGAAAATATAATAAAAAATTTAATGAAATGCTATAATGCTGTAGTAGATTGTTAAACAAACAAAAAAGAAGTTTCTCAAATTTAGTTTGATTTTCTGAAATATATTTTTTTTTTTTTTTTTTTATTTATATTTAAACAAAATGAAGAGTTTAAATTTACAACAACTAGTCATATTGACTAACAAGAGGTTTTTTTTATTGCAAGTAAATTTATCTAAGTCTATCTAGGGTGAGCATATAGATACGAACTAGTCATCTCCTTGCTGGTTGAAACGCCTCAAAAGGTCATTAGGCTCTGACTTACTTATTGCTGTCCTTCTCTCCTAAGTGGAGCATAGGGCCTTGAATTTGATGTTTCGGTTTCAGTCACCTGGATACTTAAATGTGAATCGTGCGCCTCCACATCCGATGCGCCTGATGCCGTGGCAGGGGAATTAACCGTGACCCGGTTGCCCCTTAGAGATATAGTTCCGCTGTGTTTTTGATTCATGTTTGTTACGAGCATATGTAAAGATTAGTCAATGAGTGATGGGTTTAAAGACTATGATGACCCGCTTTCTTAGTAAGTTCTAGAAGAGTTGTTTGTCCTCACCTACTTCCTTACTCGCTATGATATTTAAAAACCCATTCAGATTAGCTGGTCACGGAGTCGTATAATGGATATATATTTTTAAGGCTTATGATATGAAGGGTATCTTCAAAACAAACTAATTTTTTTAAATTCAATTTGGTTATTTAAATTGTGTTTCATACACATTTAATATATTTCTAAAAAATATTCTACAATATAATTAAATTATATAGCATTGTAAATAAGCTATGTATTTTGATAAAAATAGCAATTATGGTTTTGTTCAATGAATTCTTATTATTTGAATAGTCTTTTAATGTACAATACATTGTATGTATTATATATATATTCTCAATATATTACCGCTGTTATAAAAAAATGGGTCAATTATTATTACGATTATTCCTTCACAGTAAAATAGTGTAGAGAAATCTTATTTTAAAAGATAGACTTATATATATAGTTTTAACTACAAATATGAGCGTAAAATAAATTTACTTTATTTGTTCTAGAATGTTCTCTTATCAATTTTCGTTATCTTATCAAAAGGAAATGCAGGGATCAACAATATTTATTTTTAATCGTTTATAATTTATTTTCCAAAATAAAATGCTCTTATCTGAATTAGTTGTGTGGTTTTAAAAATAGTATGGTTTCCTTATCTTTTGAAGTTAATTTGACCATTAATATTTGTGACTATTACAAAAGTTATACATATATGTGCTTTAAACTCAGATTAAAATTAAACTATTCTTATAAATATTTTCAAGATAAAATTCATATTATTTGACTTTGTTTTATTTTTAATTTTTTTACAATAAATTTTGCAATATACAAAAGTCTTATATTTACGTATATTAAAAGACGCAATTCTCCATTTTTCTTGTCACAAGGAGATTGATGAATTTTATCTGAACTTTTGCACATAAATCTTATTGATTGATTATGATGTTTGTTCTTTTTAAAGTAGTGAGATTCAGTTTAACGTAAAATGTTCACGGACAAGTTTAGATGAAATATTACACTTTATTTAGGGTATTTTCTAAGCGTTAATTAAGCTTATGTACAAATTTAATGTAAAACCAATAATTCTTTTAATTGCTTCACTTTATTTAAATAAATTCGAAATAATATATATATATAATGACTAATATATAAAAAGAAACATTATCTCAGATATTTTGTGTCAGTAAAACTTTTCTTACATATAATAATAGTCGTATATACTTTGTGATTGATAGTTGTAAAAAAACCCATTTTTTAAGGTACTGTTTTCATCATATTTTTTTATTAAAAACCTTAAAAAATGATTAAATCGCATTAAAATTTGTACTAAACATTTAGAATCTTTTTTGGTTTTATTAATAATATTAATAATTGTTTCAAGTATATAATACTAATCTTTTATAAAATGACTGACATTATGTAATTTAAACATCGAAATATCCGAATGACTGAATAAGTAAATTACTATTTGCTCTCATAATGTGATTATAAAGTGATTATAAAAAGAATAACACTATAGTGAAGTTTAATTCTTTTTTATCTTTAATTCATTTCCGAAGTTAGTGAATAATCTATGGAATCCCAGAATGGAGAATATCGACAAACTCATATTATCGTAAGATTAATAATATACCATACAAATAGACGAAATGAAAATAATTAAGAAAATGTCGGTATAGTTACAAAACCCCAATAATTATCAACTATGAATTAAGTTATTGCGTTGTAAATAGTTTCAACAATAATTAATTAATTAATTTTATATGTTCATAATCACAATAAACATACAGAAATGGAAATATTGTCAAAATGGTTAAGTGTAGTATATTGTTTTATTAAAAAGATTTTGTAATTGAATGTCATATAGTAGTTTCAACATTTTAAGTTTTATATATCATTTATAGTTTTGTTATACGTTCATACGAGTATATGTTGCATAAACTTAGATATCAAAGATATCAATAATTTATTGTTTAAACGACCAAATATTTTTAATAAAACTTTTCTTTTTTAATGGGCTATCGATATCAAGTATCAGGAGATCAAGTCTTCTTTGTTTAAATCAGTGGTTCTCAACCTTTTTTGACCAAGGACCACTTTGATATTTTTGTTTTTAGTAGGAGCCATAAAGTTTAAGAATAATAAACTGTAAGATTATTTTAATGTATAATGAATTGTATAAGTGTATAAGTACATTATAGGAGGTTAACATATATTAAGAGGAAAAATATCTTTTTAATACATATCGATTTATTATCTAAATTATTTTATTATGCTATGCTGTACAAAATAACTTTTGTGTTATTTTTTTCAAAGCTGCGTATTTCCATTTCTTACCAACATTAATGTGACCTGCCGCTTGCCGTCTAGACTAAGAATATTTCGATCTTTAAAGTAAATATCTTGCCTTGGCAATATTTTAAAACCAATCCTCAGTATTAAAAAATAAGAAATTTACTTATCTTATACTTATCTACTGCTTTCACTACTATATACTACTATATACTACTATATATTAGTGAAAGTCACATGATTTATTACTCACGTTGGTTCTGATCACTTTCTAATTTCTTTCAAGTTTTTATATATTTGTAGTTGGTAATCTTTCCTTTACATAAGATTTGAATAGGTCTGTTCTAGGTAAATTATAAGCATATTATAATAGAAATAGAATATATTAAACAACAATCTGCTAAATATGAAATGATTAATATATCCACACACACACACAAGGTCTAAAACACAATGCAGCTGCATATAAGTGAATGTGTAATTTTCAAAAATATGAATAAATTAATATTAAAAATATATTTGAGAAGCATTTGGAGTCATAGATCTTGTAGTTTTAACTTATAGGAGAAATAGAGTTAAGAAATAAAATTGTGTGTAATTTGCTTTCTAAATATTATTGAATCAATGCGAGTTAAAGTTTTGCAGAATCTAAAAGTCTTATTATAGACATTTGAGTTATAGATTTTCATATTATATATATTCCAGTTATCTATGTTCAAATTTCAGATCTCAAGTTATATATATTCAAAACATTCGATTTATAAAAGTTCGATTATTTATAGTATTAACACTTACTGATAGGGCTTATTCCTGTACTTTTTATCTTATCTCTATTATTGTAGTTTTTTCATTCATAATCCGTGTCTCTGACGGTTTTTCGTCGTCGTCGGTCGACCATTGCTTTACGAATCTATTATTTAAATGCTCTTTGTCGCTAATATGATTGTTCATTTTAATTGAATTATTAATTTATTTATTTTTTTTTGTTTAGTACTTGATGTATTTCAATCTTAAGAGATCATACGTAATTATTGTCGCTGGATTATTAATATTTATTAAACATGCAGAGAATATTGCTGTCAAGTCATTTTCTACCGAAGAAAGTTTTGAGTAAAACTTCTATCTGAACATAGAATAATTCTATAAATAATTCTAATTCTGAATAATTCTATCTGAACACAATGGTTTCCTAATAATTACCTTATAATTCACAAATTTTTTAGTAATATTTCATTTAAGTAAATAAGTGTTGTTGCCGAAGTGTACTAGTTGAGACTTGTAAGCAGACACAAATATACTTCAGGTATTTGTAAATGAGTCATACCTACAAACTTATATTCGTACCTTTCGTAGAAACCACCCACCCTGTATATCATAATTACTAAAATTCAATTTGTATCGATAGTATGATTACAACATTTCGCAATGACAGTTCTGTTTTTATCTGGCAAAAACTATACAACTGCCATCAAAATATTTTGTTACAATCCCAACGAAATATCTTGATTAACTAAGGTCATATAATATTATATTATATCATATATTTTTTGTTATAACATAAAAAAAAAGTTTTGGGTAATTTTGTTATTTAAAAAACAACAAAAATTTTTAATAGCCTTTTTAAACCTATGGTTTAAAAGTTTGGCTATGTATCTAATGCAAATATCCACCACCTCCACCAACGTTGAAATCGTAGTCACAATTATATAAAGCAAATGAGTTTTAATAACAATTCAACGTAGAAATGATAGATGCTTGAGTTAGAATATAAGATTGTACTGTTTTCCGTGATAATATATATATGTAATTCTTCTTTTCGTATTAGAACTAAATATTTAAACATATTTAAAGTGCAGGATAAGCTTGTCTTGATTACAGATTAATTGTTTCTTTTTTTTTTCTTACTTTCTACAGACTGAATCTACATCGTCCGTCTCAAAATTTGCACTTCACAAATGCGTTTGGTGCTCACAAACACTAAATATAAATGATCGTCCAAAACTGTTGGAATGTTTACATGTTGCGTGTTCACAATGTGTGAGCACAAAATTTTCAGAATTGGATCGTACTTTACCTCCATTAATACATTGTCCAATGTGCAATATGGCATCGCAGAATGAGTTCATTGTGGACAATCAATTTTTAATTGAGCAGTGCACAGCCAATGGTGAGAACAATGGAGATGGAAGCTCTACTTCTGATGCTAAAGCATCAGTGACTGCTAGTATACAGTGCAGCAGTTGTTCAGACAATGCTGTAGCTACATCGTGGTGTGTAGACTGCTCGGAATATATATGCGATAGTTGTGTACAAGCCCATCAGCGTCTTAAAATAACTAAGGATCATACTATTAAACCAAAGGAAGAAGCAAATAATGAACAATTGCCAGGAGCTGCAGGCGTAGATAAACTTCATTTATGCAATTTACATCCACAGGAAAAACTATCATTGTTTTGCGAAACTTGCGATAAACTAACCTGTCGTGACTGTCAACTCAGTGATCATCGTGATCACAAATATAAATTTGCACATGAAATTGCTACAGAAACGCGTCACGCGTTATCAACTCTTGTTTCAGAAATAAACTATAAAAGATTCCTACTTTCATCAGCTACTAAGGTGATTGATGATCGGCAACAACTTATATCGGATAAGAAAAAAGATTTGATCAAAGAAATTACCGCAATGGTGGTTAAAATAACTAACACTGTGAATCATCGTGGTAAACAATTGGTTATGCGCTTAAATGAAGTTTGTGACAGCAAAATGAAAGTTTTAATTGAAAAGAAAGACGCATTGCAGTTACTTTCTGATAATACTGATCATTGTATAGAGTTTATGTCGAACGCATTAGATAAAGGTAGTGATTATGCTATTTTATCAAGTAAAAAGTCTTTAGTTCGACATCTACAAAAGCTAAAATGTCAACGTGCTGATATACCAAATCCAGAAATTCCAGTACGTATACAAGTGCAGTTAAATCAGGCTGCAGAATTACAGAAAGGTATAATTTTGAAAAAATCCTTTAAGTCCTCGCTTTTAATATTTGTTTAAATTTATAAAGTTATATCACAACTTGGAACCGTCATAGTGGATGGCAAACCATATCCGCCAACACAGTCACCAAATGGTCCACCACGACAACAACCTAGCCCTAATATGGCACCACCATTACGACCAGGTTTGCCACCTGGTATGTCACCTACTGGTCCACCAGGAACATTTGTTCCCCAAAATGGTCCACCAATTTACAATAATGGCACACAACAATTCAATAACATGCAAATAAATCGAACATTTCCTGGTGACGGACCAGGTAAAGGTACGTATTTTCATTGTGCAAATATTTTTAATTTTTTATATTAATATTGCTTGCATGTTTATTTAATTTATTTTAATATAAATAATTTTGCAGTTCGTTTTGCTGGTGGATTACCAGTTGGTATGCAGCGGCAAGGACAACCACATGTTAGTTCCTCTACTCATCCACAGAATATGGGTAAATTGATAATGCCATATGATATATTTTACAATAACTAACTTTTAAACACTTTAACAGATATAAGCCTTCGTGGCTTATTAAATAATCAAGCAGCTCAAAGTCCAAATCAACCACATATGTCTTTTAATGGCCCACCAAATTATCCAGGAGGTCCACAAGGTGCTCCGTCGCCGCATCAGCAAATGGGTCCGCAAATGCGACCGCATTTTATGGGCGGTCCACCGGGACAACAACATCAGAATTTTACCCAAAATCCGCCAGGTGGACCGAACAACCCAAATTTTTTAAATAACAATCCTCGTTTTCCAAATTATCAACGAATGTCTACCCACGCTCAGCAACAGGCAGCAGTAGCTGCTATGACATCAAGCGGAGCCGGTCCAGGAGGACCATGTGGCGGCCAAATTCCTTCACCTGGGGCCATGCAGAGACCTCAAATAATGAATAATCCGATGCAGAATGTAATTTATTAAAGACGAAATAAAATTATAAATAAAAATAATGTGTGTAATTTGTATTTTAACTTTAGAATTTGGGGTTTCATGGAAGCCAGTCAGTTTTCAGTCCCGGCCCACCAACATCATCCCCTCAATTAGGCGGCAGTATCAGTAGTATGCATACCGGGGCAAAGTGGCATATACCACAATCAGCTCAGCAAATAAATGGTGAGAATTGTAACATGTAGGTTGCAATAAATATAAAGTTGTGACACTTTTTTTTAATACATTTTATTTGCAATAATTTGATATAGTTATTTCTTAACTGAACATATAATATAGTACACTCAAATTTTTAATTCAACTTGTTTCTCAAAATTTTTATTTTTTTTTGTAGCATGTCCCCAGCAAGGACCAATGATGCAGTTTGCGAATGGTCGTCAAAATGAAAATTTTAAAATCTCTCTAAAATCTCCTATTACTTTGAAAAATTCTACTACCCCAAACGGTAACGCCGCAGGGAATGCCTCACAAAGCAATAATTCATCAACATCCTCATCTACACCAATAAACGCTGCATCATTGGGACTTGGTCCAGCAGTTTCCATTTTGCCGAATGTAACGTCAACAAATCCTAAAACACCGAGTCCTAGTACTAATGAGGTTAGTACTTTATCAAATTATGTGAAATTAATAAATAATTTGATACACCTATTTGCAAATAAAATATGTATATACGATATATACGTCGTTAAATATAATACATTAGTCTTTCTTTAAATTTATAAGTAATTCTTCATACTAATATAATAATAATATGAAAGTTTTACCAACACTTATATAAATTATATAAATAACTTATACAATTCTGATTATTTAAATTCTGTAAGAAAATCTAAAAATTTCATATACAGCATATATATTTTAATAATAATTACATTAAATTTAACACTCCCATTTTATTATTAAGAATTCAAAAGATTTTACTGAACCAATTGATAAAGTACGGGATGACTCAATTAATGATCTAATGGCTACTATAGCAAAGCTAGATTCAAACGGAGTACAAGTACTACCTGAAGGACGTACAAAAACAACTTCTCCACAAGTACATAGTTCAACAGATTTATCAAATACTCAAGAAGGTATGATTGCATTTATTAAATTTGAAAAAAATTTTTGTAAAAAATATTTTAAAAAATAAACTAATAAATTTAAAACAAACAATTCTGGAAAACAAATGCATTGGTTTTCGCTTTTTAAAATGCTTAAACATAATATGCAAAATTCAAAATTAAAAAAGAATTGAATACATCAGATATGAAATATATTATCGTTAAAATATATTTTATTTATATTATACTTAGCTGCTGTAATCTTAATTACTCGTTACTTTGCTTTGTTTATTTCTTTTTCATTAAAAATGAATTCAATAAAAATCGCAAAATTTTAACAACTACTACTACTAATCATAATATTAATATTGAACAAACATAAAACATTTTCTTACATAAAACATACATATCATAAACAATACAAAACAATTCCTTTAAACGAACCTCAAACTAATCAGTTAATAATAAAAATGATCAAAAAGACGATCCAAACGAGGATTGGTGTGCAGTATGTCTGGATGGTGGGGAGTTAATGTGCTGTGACAAATGTCCCAAAGTATTTCATCAAAATTGTCATATACCCGCAATTATTTCACTACCAGATGAAAGTGAGAGCTGGCAGTGTCTTTTATGTGTTAACCTAAAGGACCTCGCTAATGCAGAGAATACACAAAAATCAGGTGGATTAAGCCGTTTGGAGCTACAAATACTACAACGTATATGCCTTGAATTATATTGCCAATATGAACAAAGCTTACAATTTCGGGAACCGGAAACACCAGCAAATGCAGCTTATTACGAAGTTATTTGCAAGTAAGAAATAAAAAAGAGAATATTTAATATATTAAAAAAAAATATATATATTTATTATTTGCAGTCCAATGTCTTTGGATGTGGTTCGAACAAGATTGGATCCCAGCAGTCCTAATCATTACAAGGAATGTTCAGCCTTTATAGCAGATGTGCGCTTAATATTCAAAAATACGTTTCTTTTCTATCAAGTACGTATATCCGATACTAAATATCTTTTATTTTATCTGGAAACATATATACATGAGCTGCTTATTTTGATCGGTAAATTTAGATCCGAACAATCTCAAAACCAAACATTCTAGACAGTATGTTTACATATTTTACACAAGCAACTGTGTTATGTGCTCTCAAATTTCTGAAAGCTCTCGCAGGCTGTTATGGGGTTAAGAATAAAAATTCCTGCTACACACTTACAAATCATTATGTCGTCGTATTGCGGTCTGTGATATTCCAATATAGACTCTAAATATAAACTCAAGCCTTTAATTTTAAATTGCAAGCAACGCATGTTGATTATATTCACGAAAAGTTCCAAATGCTTTTTGTAAAAGAACATAATCAGTTTTTAAGGTAAATTTTTTCTTGCCGATAATGGCGTGTCTTTTTATGACGAAAGAAACTATGTAAAAGTTAGACCGATTCGAATAGCAAAGAAAGGCAAAGACAAAAATTTTTTTTTATTTAATTTATTAAAATTTGGTTGACCATACAACGCTGTTTCGAGTATTGCCAAGTGCTCTTCATCAGTGGTCTTTGGAAATAATCGAATTTTATTTAATTAGTTTATAGTCCGTATATAATTTGTTTGGACTGCAAGTGCCAGGCTTAGAACTCGTGCCTGTCAAATTAGAAGCGATGACTAATCGTGTTTATCCACAAGAAGCCAAGGCTGCACAAACTTTCAATGCTCAAGTTCCAGGTTTTATTGTCACTTATTTTTATTTAATTAGTGACACCAACCAAAGCACTTGCCGTGCTTTAAATTAGAACGAGCTTGTAAACTACAGCTTTATTTGGAAACACAAGTTCAACGAATTGAAAGTTAATCTTTGAGCTTGCCTATTTTTGTTTCAAAGCTATTCTTTTTGTAGAGACATCTGTTATGCAAAGTTTTTAACTTACTATATGTAAAGCGCCTTTTTTGGGTGCAATTTTACAAAGAAGCTATGCAAATGTTTTTCTACAAGTTCGCTAATCGCGTTAAGGAAAAGCTGAACAATAGTATTGTTCATATTTCCTATAATTCTAATTTTTAAGGTAAATTTTTTCTTGCCGATAAATCAATTTTTGTTCAAGTAGTTTCTAAAACCCATACAGATGAACATAGGTGGCGTGATCAGTATCATCCTCCAAATTGCGTCATTTGCTCCCTTTGCTCCATATTCTAAAAATATCCCCCCTATTGCAACGGAGCTACGTTAGTGAGTATAAGCGAAAGTAAACTGCTCTCTATACCGAAGTAGTTTATCTTCTTCGAGATCACGTTTGTATTGCAATCTTTAAATATGAGACTCATTCCTAGTGCCACAAAAACTGTTTTAGATCAATTTAAGTCAGAATATATAATTGCTTGTGTATTCGTAATCTGAGTCCCTATTCTCCACTTAGGAGAGAAGGACAGCAGTAAGTAAGTATTCGTAATCGGTATTCCAATTCCAGCTTTACAATCTATTTTCTTGTCCAAATATACGAACTAATTTGAGCCCTTTAAAATTATAGTACCGTCCTATTAAAGTTTTTAAGTTCCTTTATCTGTACCTAGGTTGCATTTAATGTGCCAACCTATACTCTCATTTCTCTACAATTATACCCAAAATATTCAATAAATAATCTTTACTTTATATAATATAAATTGTTATTATATATATTTTTAAAACGATAAAATTAATCAAAAATTATGGTGTTTGTATATTTAAGGAGGATTCAAAAACCTACAGAAATGCAAAATATCTGGAAAATTTTTTTGAAGAACAGTTATCTAAATGGCTGCCAAATTTCGCATTAAAAACACATAAAAACTCTCATTCAGCATCCTCGTCTCCAAGCCTTATAAGTATAAGCCCAGGATTGATAGGATCACCAGCATCGGGTACTTCGGTTGAGAATGGAAGAAAAAGCTGCAGCGCAGCACTACTAGGCAGTAAAAATAGCTCAGACGATAGTGGAGATGGATGCAATCCTCCAAAAAGAGTACGAAAACACACAGAATAGGACAAAGCTCAATTATCGAAAATGCTAATGCTAATTCAGAACATATCCGACTCTTTCATTATAATTTTTTAATCATTTGAATATTTTTTAATTGTAGAAATAATGTGTGTATGATCTAATCTACGATTTTAATTTATTTTTATTTACATTTAAATATATCAAATAGTTTTGAATAATTAAATTTAAATATATATATAAGATTACATTATATTATAGTTGTAGGCATATCTACATATTGAATTATTTTAAAAGGATTTCAATTTAATAACGAATTTTTTTTTTGTTCCATGAAGAAAAAGTTGAATTGTTTAATTTAATTTTTTCAAATACCATACAATTCCAATCGTTGTCTTCACAAAAAAAAGAAAATAAGAACAACAAGGAAGAAAAAAAAGATAAACAGAACAATGTATATGGCATTAACATAAAATCTTCCTTTTCATAGAAAATAAATTCATAAATAATAAATATATAATACAAAAAATTATCTAAACAACAATATAACTCAAAAGACAAATTGTGTAGTTAAGCATTTTTTATTGTAGTTTTAAGCTGAGCAAAGAACAAAAATATTTAATAAATTATCTTAAATGTGTCTATTGTGCCCGCAAATTGGTCAGTAGTGTAAATAAAATATTAATGTATTTTAGTATAAAAAATTATGATATATACACATATGTACAATATGTATTGATATGTAGTATATATACGTATATATACGTATATATACGTATATATACGTATATATATGTATATATATGTATATATATGTATATATATGTATATATATGTATATATATGTATATATATGTATATATATGTATATATATGTAAATATATGTATATATATGTATATATATATCTATATATATCTATACAAAATACAAAATAGTCAAAAATCATTATTTTTTGTCATACATCGGTAATTATTCACAAATGCTGCCTATAAATAAAGCGTATATTTATTTTAAATAAATTGAGTATTCAGTAAATGTAAAAACTTATGCTGGTAAATCTATATTCGTTTGTAAGAAATATAATTTAATGAAGATTAATTTGGTTTTATCAATTATTTAACCTTTTTGAATATTACTGTAGAATACAATCTAAAACATTGAGTAACTCATATATTTATTCATTTTCACCATAATTATCAGCACTAGTCATGCTCCTATTGAATCTATTCTGAATAAATATTTATGGGCTGAATATTAAAAAAAAATCACTGTTAACTGTCATTGTCACTGTTATGACATTTAACAGTTATAATAAATTTAAAAATTCATATGAATCGCAGATATATTACACCACTATACTTATTTTCAACTAATTATTGAGAAATTAACTAACTTTTTTGTAACCCTTCTGATTGTTTTGAACTCACCAAAGTAACCTTATGTCTCCAGAAAGTAGATCAGAGATCAGCAATTTTTTCCGCAAAAACAGAATTTATAATTGTATTCATGCAAGTACAAGTTTAAAGATATAAATCTTTATAAATTGTATACAATATTTATGTCCTGATTATGTCCTGACGTTTTATGATCTGTGTTTTAAAACGTTAAAAACTTAAATGTAAATATGCAGTTAAATGTCTTTAAACTTGACGTTTTTATAATATTTATGAGTCATATGTAGAAATTAACTATCTGTGTTAATTTAATTTAAATGTTCAAATGTCATTACCTTAGTAAGTGGCAATGAGTTTATTTTTAACAAACACTAATTAGACACTTTTTCGCTAAAATGCATTTAGTATTTAATTTAACCGGACTTACGGTCGGTTGTTTAACTCTCCAATTATTAATAAATAGGTAACACTAAGTTTTTGTTAAAAATTTTTATATATTGTAAAAAAAATATTTTTTATGCAAATATGTTGGACTACTTCGTAGATCAGCTATTATTTGAGTCCAAGCACTTAAAACTACATTTTGTGTAAAGGCAATACCTTTTTTAATGAGAGTGCGGCAATATTTTTCTCTCACTTATAGATCATGTTTTAATTTTGCTATTCGATTTTATATTTGAATTTGTTAGCTGGCATTTCAAGTTATATATTTTTATGTTAAGACTGCAATTTACAGGGTTTCAGTCAGCACTTTAGGGGCCCCCTTCCTTGAGGATCTTGATCAATTGCAAGAACTTCCAATAAACAGCATTTTAAGCTTTGCTTAAACTCTAAATTTTTCCAATATACGGTAACACAATGGGTCAATAGGACTTAGTGGATTTCCTAGGGATCTCCGATGTAATCTAACCTACCGAATCTAAGCTAATATAAACTAATATTCCTAATCTTGGAATTTTCTTTTCTTTTCTTTATAAAAACTACTGTATAGTTTTGAACAAAGTTGTTCATTAACTGTATGCTGGGAAGAAGTAAAGAGGTTTAAATTGTAATTGATAGCTCAATTTTGTAAGACAATAGACAATATAACATTTTGACTACTTAAATAAATGATTTTGATGATTTTTTCTATCGTGTATATGATATAATTGATTTATGTTTCATAATATTGTGAATATTAAGTTTGTCAAAATGTTTGTAATTCAGTAAAATAAACAACAACCATATATCATCTTATTCAGTTTAAAAAGTCTGGTAAATACTCACTTAGTTTTTGACTTAATCAAACGAAACTGCGCAGTGTTTTTTGTGAATATTTGTACGTCAAGCTTGTGTATGGCTTTGCATCTATACAGAAAAACTCTCGAATATACTTATATTTGATTAAATATATATTTGCATTTGACAGAACGTCCAACAAGAAATTTATATATAAAATTTAAAAAATAATGAAGTAAATCATTTACTTAACCGACAACTATCATAATTATTTGAGATTGTTTTGTTTTTGAGTAGTTTAATATTTTTTGCGTAAAATAAAACTCATTTTCTAAGATAGTATTTATTAAATATAAATTGTTGTGAATTAATTGAATAATAATTTATATTGAATATTATGTGTACATATAGTGTTGAAAACTTCATTTCACAAAATAATATATAAAAAAACAAAAAATAAAAATGAAAATTCTTAAAAATCAATTTTATTAGTTTAAGTTTAATTTCATTTTAATTTGTATAAATATGAAATGAGATTTTTTTTTGTGAAGAATTATTTTAAAAACATATATATGAAATTCTTTTTTTATATAATTTTATAGTAGTTTGTAACAAATTGTATATTTATTATTAATTTCAAATAACGCTCCATATTAGAATATAAAATTATAAAATGAAATATATAAGAATTAATGGTACGAACAATTTTTATAGACATTTTATACAATATGAAGCAAAAATATAAGTTTTGTGGTAGTTTTCGCTCGGCAATTTCTAAATGTAATAGAATTCTTAATTCTTATGGACAATCCTTAATTGTCCATATTTATAGCAATCTGTTAAGAATTGCCTAGAGAGTTTCTACACGAATTATAATTTTTTGTTGTTTATGTGATTGCACTACAATTTTGTATACGTAAATTTGAATTTGAAAATTGTAAAAAAATTAAAATTTTAAATTGTATAAATTTATAATAAATAAAATTTAAATAGCGTTATTACTTCACCACTAAGAATTATATTAATCTACGTGGACATGAAATCATCCCTACAATAATTTCTATTGGTAGAACTTAACGAAACATTTAGTATAAGTTCAAAATGTTGATTATAAAGATTTTATATAAATAAATATAAAAGTAAATACAACTTCTAATATAACAATTAACCAACAAATGTATTAATTTTCTATTAACTAAATTTAAATTTAGGTCTTTATATAATAAAGTGTATTTGTTGTATTCTGTAGTAATTTTAGTTATAAATTTTAAAAAGTCAATCATTTTAAATTTGTAAAATGAAGTTATCTCTAAAAAAACTTTGTTATAATGCAAATGAGATATAAAATGAACATAAGTTCGTTATTCACTAATATAGCAAATATTTTTGGTTTACAATTTAAATTAGTCTTAAAGCAAGAATTTTTGTTTTCATAAAAATTATCTAAAAAAAATTAAATTATAACAAAATTAATGGACATGGCATCAAGAGATATTTGAAAAGCATTCTATAAAAATATATAATTATATCTATACATACAATATTTAATTAAATATCTATACATTCATATTCATTTGTATGATTTAACGTATAATCGTATGTGAAGTATCCATTAATGCTTAAATTAATTAAATATTTAAGGTATAAAGTATATATAGTCTACATAAATAATAAATGAAAAATATACGAAAAATAAAATAACGCTAACTGCGTTTGAATAAATATATAATTTTCGATTATTATAATATGCAAATAAATGTAATGAAAAATAAAGATACAAAATTTATTAAAACTGAGTTTATTTTTAATCCGTTTAAAATAAAAGAAATTACTTTCCATTTGTGATATATGAGATTTAAAAAAAAAATTATAAATCTATATACATAAAAGAAAATCGTGTTAGTTAGACCGCTTATAACTAAAGAACGGCTGCATTGATTTTAATAATCTTTGATTTGTTGGAATCGTCTCCGCTCCGAATAGCAGAATATATTATTAAATATTGGAAAAATCCACTAATTTTAGCAAAAATAATAAATTTGTAGATTCTGTTTCAAACTGTTGACAGTTCCACAGTTTGAGTGATATTGATTTCTTTTTAAATTTTTTTTTTCAATTATTTCAAATTTCAAATATAAGAAATAAATACTGTCATCGATATATGAGCTGAAAGTATCGATTTGTTTGTTTTGTGCGAGTGTTTAATATTAACAATGCCGCAACCCAGAAAGTCTAATCTTTTCCAACAAAGCTTTAATGCAATTAGGCGTCGAAACATTACGCAAGCATCCACTGAAGAAGAACGAGAAATCGCACGAGAAAGGAGCTACATTAGTATGACCCGCCTTCGCGCTTCTCAAACACAATAGCAAAGAGAGGTAGTCCGTGAAACGGCTCGGTTGGCAATGAGAAATCGTCGAGCTTATCACACAGATCAACAACGTGAAAATATTTGATGATCAAGAAGAAATGACTCAACTATTGATTTGTATCGAGCAGGGTTTCTATACGATTGCGCAAATGATTACAATTCGCATCCTTTCGTTCGCAATAGTCCAATGGACGTTACTTGCGAATATTGCGGAGCATTAAAGTTTGCTAGAGAATCGTCGGGATTGTGCTGCCTTGATGGCGAAGTGAAATTGCCATTATTGACTCCGCCACCTGAGCCATTGCATTCATTGCTTTGTGGCGAAACACCAGAATCACGACATTTTCTAGCGAACACTCAAAAGTACAATGGCTGCTTTCAAATGACTTCATTCGGGGCAGACATTATCGAAGAATATGGATTTAATCCGACGTTCAAGGTAATTTATGTTGAAAAGAGCAAATGTTAATTTTCTTTAAGAGATTAGATTTAAGATAAAAAATTTGATCAAATGTGAAATATAGGTGAAAAAATTTTGTCCTCTATAGTCCTCTATTTGTGTCTATTCGGCTTGCATTCGCCATGACTATAAATAAATCACAAAGCCAATCCTGAAGTGTTTGTGGATCTAGAAAATGCATGTTTCTCATGGTCATTTGTACGTGGCATGTTCACGTGTAGGCAAATCATTTGCTTTATTTGTTCTTGCGCCTGATAAAAAAACAAAAAATATCGTATATCACAAGGTTCTTTACTGAAGAGAATCAATCGGAGTGCAACCCATAAGTTCTTGCTGACAGACCATTAATATAATTGATTATATATTAATATTCTAATAAACAATTGAATATAATAAATATTTTGTATTAATTTTATTGCGTTAATAAATTTCTAAATTTAGTTTACCTATAATTTAATATAACATCCATTGACTGTTACGCGGCACGAAGTTCGCTGGGTCAGCTAGTATGACATATAGTGTACATATTGTATATAGACATATAAAATATATGATATGTAATACACTCAACTGAAAATGGGATTTAGTATAAGTTGAGTTGTTTAAACTTATTTCAGTATTCAGATATTTCAGATATTTTCTTTTATGAACAGTATTTTGTAAGTTTTGAATGGAACGGATTGAGTAAGTCTTAAAAAACAAGATTATATCGACTGTTTATTTTTAAGTATGTTTATAACTTAAACAAAATATATGATAATAAGTAAAAGGAATGTAGGCGCGATTGACTGTAAATGGTTCAAGCGTAAAAAGAGTAGATAAATATACATACTTAGGATTTCAACTTAATGAACATTGGAACTATTATAAAGAAAAATGTGTGCGAGTTGAAAAGGCAAGTATTGCGTTTACAAAGATGATAAAATTGCTATCATTAAGGCTACGGTGGCTGAAATGTTACGTCTGCTCTATATTACTCTATAATGCAAAAGCGTGGACGTTAACGGTTGCGTCGATGATACTAAAAATCAGTTAAACGGAACATGCGACAAATTTGGAGGTACTTTTGGAGATAGTAAAACGTCGTAAATTAGAATTCTTTCGTCATATTTTGAGGCATCCAGAAAAATATGGTCTGCTCAGGCTAATCATCGATAGTCATCGAATCTAATACAGAAGTTTTGTAAAAGTTCAAGATCGCTTTTTCGTGAATCTGTGAACAAAACAAATATATCAATCATGTTAGCCAACGTTCGATGCGGACAACGCACTTAGAAGAAGAAGAAGTATGTCTATATGCAGAAAACAAGTGGTATTCGAGCGTCAATGGTAATAAGTATAAGAGATAATCATAGATTTACCAATTTTTACATAGTATTGTAATAAATCTCAAAAATCTCAAAAATAACTTTTCTAGCCTTATCGGAATAATCTTGGCGTAATTTTAACAAAACCTTAACCTAAGTATAATAAGAACAATTTTTAAGCATAAGAAAATGTGTAAGGTAACATGAGAGATGCTAGAAGATAGATGTTCAAAATGAATAGAACATGTAGTAATTGAAGCAAGATTCTTCTTCTTAATACCAGACTTTAAATCTAGTAGGGGGTGAATAGATCATTTCTTAGTGAAAGCGAAATTAAGAACCGGATACATAAAACAACAGTCAAAGTATAAATATAGTACATAAATGGGATGTAGATAAATTGAAAAATACAGAGATTGTGAAAAGTCACCATAATATGCTACAGTTGAGATTATATACTTATATATAATCATATACATATATGATTTTGTATCATATACAAAATTCAGTAAAAGAGAAGTGGAGTAGAATTGTATGTTATACGTAATACTTGAATCAGCGTTTTGGTTTAAAAACAAACAAAGGAAAAACGAAATACACAAAGCTGGAAACGAAAGGCTATGACTAACAGTTAGTGAATACAACTTTGATGTTGCAGACAATTTTACTTGCCTCGGTAATATAATCAACAAAGACAATGCTGTTAAAATCATGTTAAACATGTTAGAGTTCGACTAGAAACGAGATTGAATGACAATATTTTTGGGAATATAAAAACTCTGAATGTCGTTAACTGGAAGATGCTATCAGCAAACTGAACAAGATGGAGGGAGATCACGAAGGAAGGCAAGATTTATACTGAACTGAAATGTTAAAGAAGTAGGAGAAATTGTACCAAAAGAAAAGTTAAATCGACCTCGATCGGAAACAGTGTTTGTTTTATGTTTATAATGTTTTTTTTATTAATTTTTTTAAATTTTGTTACTTTTAATTGTATTCATTGTGTTTATTGTATTAATTGTATTAAGTAAAGAATATGTTAATACTAAAAACTATAATTAAGAAAACATTTGAATTCCAAGAACACTATAACTTTTTTTTGCATTTGCATTTATTCATTTATAAAATGAATTACCATAAGTTAATATATATGTTAATGATTATTTATTTTACATCAGAAATCGTTCATCAATTAATGTTTTCTCGGAGACATTTCTGCGTACCCAATTCCGGAAGATTATTTGAAAAAGCTGTTAATTAAAATAATTTTAATTAAATTTATTAAATATATATTTACACTAAAAAGATTTCCTACCAAATTTGAAGCGCAAACCACTGCGACAGATGCTTCAATATTGGTAGTCATTATAAAAACACTTAAGAGCAATAACAATTCCAAAGCGAAGACTTCAAAATGATTTCCATATAAGAATAGATCACTAAATGCAAATGATTTGTCTATATAAAATGTGCCTTTATCTGTTAAATAAGAAAAAATACAAATAAAAATATAATAAAGCTAAGAATACAAATTTATATTATTACTCTCTGTCAAATAGCTGTTTAATTCGCATTTAAATATTTTCTCCATAAAGCTTTTCTCCTTGATAATGTAGTCCATATCTTTAATAGCCTTTATGATAGAGTGTTCTTGAAGTCCCATAATTTTTATGAGCAAAATCAATAATACTTACATGATCAATAAAAGCACAAAAGAATCGATTTACACTGCTATATGCTAAGGATGATCTTCGATGCAAGTTACTTTCGATCGTGTTCACTTCTTTTTGAAAATGTGCTTGTGAAATACTCCATGAACGTTGGAAAGGAATCATTAGTTTTTTAAAATAAGAACTGCAATTGGAAAAATTTGACATTTACAAATAACAAAAAAGAAAGTTCGTTTGTATACCGCAAACTGATTGGAGGAACTATTATATAAGTTTGCTGATCGGAATCAGTGAGCAAACCACGTCGTCCACACATATTCTGTGACTCTCGCTGTAACTGCATTATTATAGATGACATATCGGTATCAGCAAATCCGTGAGGGGAACGGCCATGTATATAAAAGCCATAAGCAGTGTCAAGTAATATAAATAAGGAAATATTTGCCAAGGAACATAAGTCTGTAAATTTTAGCAATGGATTTCCGAAGAGCCTCTTGATTAATAGCTCATAACAAATTATTTGCGTTATAAAAATTGAGATGTAGCATATGTAGATTAAAAATAATTTAATTGTGATGTCATCTTGTGTGATATTAGTTTTATTAAATATCTGAAAGAATAGTTTAAGCACATTTCTTAAAATAAAATATAAAATAAAATTAAATAAAAAAAAATAGTACCATAGAACAAAGAATTATGTAAATGACTACTATTCGGTGATTTGAATAAAATTATTTACAGTTTATTAACAATATATCACTATATGAAATCGTGAGATATGAAGGTCGGAGTAAATCGATATAAATTCTACAAGCTAATATCTTTAACAAATTGTGCTAAAACTAATTGATGGTTGATATATGTAGCTCATAACGATCGATAAATATAAATCTTTTTATACGGATGCTTATAGGCTTATTTTATACTCTTATTAAAGGGAATATCTGTACGATTTATAATTTTTTAAGAGTTAACGATGACTAACGCACTCAAATAAATTCCGATCTAAATGAGCTTTTGTATAAACCTGATATTGTTTAGCATATAAACATCAGTTTGGATGATATGATCATATTATGGGGATGGAAAGCATAACCGCATCGAAAATGGGATTTAAAGTTGCAGCCAAAGGAAGGAGATAAAGAAAAAGCGTTTTATATATATGTATATATTACATCACTCAATAAGTTGTGTGACTGACACACAGATGGCGCTGCCATTGTCAAATCCATACGATGATTATGAAGTACCAACCATCAAACGACTATGTGTAAAATTTCATGACATTTCGATTAGTCAGAACAAAAGTGACAACTATTTAAGTGAAGCTACTTTTGTTATTTTCAAAACAATGGATTCAAAACAATTTCGTGTATTAATTTATCATTACTTTTTGATGAAAAACAATACTGTACAAGCTCAGCAATAGCTCCAAAAGTGTTATCCGGACTCTGCTCCATCAAAAAGAACCATTTGTTATTGGTTTGCAGAATTTAAACGTGGTCGTACAGACACCGATAATGGTGAACGTTCTAGTCGTCGAATTGAGGTGGTTACTCCAGAAAACATCAAAAAAGTCCAGAAATTGGTTCGTGAATTAAAATGGCGTGAGAGAGAGGATCCATCACTTCACTCCGGAATCAAAACGATCATCATCTGAGTGGACTGCAGCCGGTGAACCACGTCATCAGCTGGGAAGATTATGGCTTCAGTATTTTGGGATGCACAAGTTATAATCTTCATTGACTATCTCGAAAAGGGAAAAATCATCAATAGTAACTACTACACAGCATTACTGAATCGTTTGAAAGCAGAAATTGTGAAAAACGACCGCATATGGCGAAAAAAAAAATTTTGTTTAACCAAGACAATGCACCATGTCACAAGTCAATAAAAACGAAGGCAAAATTGCACGAATTACACTTCGAATTGCTTCCTCATACACCGTATAGTCCAGATCTGGCCCCCAGCGACTACTGGTTATTCGCTGATCTTAAAAGAATGCTCGCCGGTAAAAAATTCATCTCAAATAAAGAAGTAATTACTGAAACTGAAGCCTATTTTGAGGTAAAAGACAAATCCTTCTACAAGCACGGCATTGATAAGTTAGAGAAGCTTCGGAATGATTGTATTGCCCTTGAAGGAGATTATATTGATGAGTAAAATCGATTTTTGGCAGAAAAAATTTGTTTTTCTTAGTTAACATAGTTACACGACCTATTGAGTGATGTGTTATATATATATGATATATGATATACATAGGAAAATCGCTCGTTTGGAAAAGTGTGGGAAAAGAAAGGAGTTCCTTATCAAACCAATCCCTGGCAACACATTCTTTCGGTTAACTAAATAAGTAATATATTTATACATATATGTATATAGTTAGCTATCATGTCAATTTAGTTATATGAATGCAACTGTATCTTCATCTAAATATTCTAATTACAATAACATATAATGGATTTACTTTGTTTATGGTTAACATATAATTTTAACATAAATTTCATAGTTTAATTTATGGACAAACCTGATAAAGAACTATAACCGCAAAGCCTTGTACTATCATGGAAGTTTTTGTTGCAGTACTCAAACGGACCCATTCGTTAGCAGTAAAAATAGTACGCCACGCAGAAACATTGTTTTCAGAAATAAAGGTACGGACACTTGAGCAAACGGAAGATGTTTCTAAATTTGTTTTCGTACTTATATGATTGTTATCGCAGCACTTAGGACGCTCCCAGTCGATGAAAAATAGATCTATATGGGCAACTCTCCAAAAATATACGCCAAGATAAATTGCCTGTTGCGGAAGATTGAAATAAATTATTAAATGAGCATTATTATTAATTTAAATTTACCTTTAAGAGTAATGCTGTGAATATTAGGACATCGAAAGTATGCTGAACTTTATTAAGTGGTAAAGTGAGCTTAATAGTTTCTTGAAATAGATATGTTAATGAATTTATTACAGCTAACAAAAATGTACCAAGCAATATAGCATTCGAAGTATTTGAAAAAAAATGTAAGAAAAATTCTGTGATACATGAAAAATCACAAATATCCCGTATTTGTAGTGCATCCATAAGCGAACGCCTCTTCTTTGAGTTGTACGTATGCAGTATGGAGATGCCGATAGTTATGAAAAGCAGAATAGTAACAGTGATACTTAAATGTTGATCCGATTTTAACATCTCATCCATTTTCTCAAATTTAATGTCAATTTTAAAACTATACAAATCACTTAATGAAGAATTGTCATTCAGTTCAATGCTACGATATCTTAGTTTTATGATTGGTATAGAAATTGTATTCTCATCATGAATTTTGTAGAAAAGTTGAAAACTGTCCACGTAACGAATATATGAATATAATTGCAACTTGTGTGTATCTTCATAGATTGCCTCCCTTTGCCGACCGTGGAGGTTTCGGGAAATCGCGACAATAAGTAAGAACCGTTTCACCAAACGCCATTCCTCAGTATTCATTCGCTTATGGGGAAAAATATTTAAATTTAAACTAGAATCTGTTAAATTGAAGTTTATGTAATATTATAAGTAACAACTGAAAATTTAACCAAACAAATTTATTACAGATGACGTAGATGTGATTAATAAGTACCACAATAATTCAAATCATAGTTTTGGTTATTAAAGTTTGTTGAAACAAAGATCATAACGTTGACATTGATAACTTTAGCAGACTCTCTTTTATGGATACCAATTCATTCTACGTAATACCCTCTTAACATAACCGATTAACAAAATTTAAAGTCCTTTAAGTCTTTTAATAATCCGGTGAAGAATCCTATTGCGTTAAAAAATAATTGGCTTATTTTGACACGAGTTTGTCAATATTGGTATAGAATACAGTTAATTAAAATGCACTTAATACGTAATACATATATTTTTAAGATATATCGTATATTATTACAGTTATGTGATTTACACTTACTTGATTTTCTGCTGTTAGAGTTTCAATTAAAATAGGCACGGGTTGTAAGTACACTTGATTGTCATTATTTTTTTTAGTATAGTTAAAAAAAATATTTAAAAAATTATTATTAGCTAGAATTTGGGACAAATCTATTATATTCTCCAAAGTCAATTCGCAACTAATTGGTTTGTATCGCTTAGCGAAATGTATTCTATGATTTGCAACAGCGAAAATATTTTTTGAGTGCAGTCCGCATAAATTAATATGATCAAAATTAAATGAACCCCAACGCAAGAAAGAACCATCTAAGTTATAATGCGTGCTGAACAAATTAAGTTTAGACTATAATTTAAAAAAGTTTTTTTAATTAAATACCATGTTAATTTATATAGTTATATACTTACGTTATGTAGCTTAGAATTTTCAACTGTAAACGCTGCGCCGTCTATTGGTTTATTTAACATACTTACGGTATTTTTACCCTTTTCAAAGAATAAAAACGGTGTTATTACTTGTAAAGGTTCACCCATACTTGTATATCTTATGATGTCAGAGGTTTGTGTTACTAAAAACGCATTACATGGTGACATATTATCCAATGAGTAATGTGACATCACACAATAGTTCGCCAACCGATTGCATGCAGTGTTATTATGCAGGGCAAAACAGAAAAATGCAATGAATTTTAATTCCCCATAATGGCCCCCAGTAAATGCTATGGGTACCCAGAAGCTGTTGTAGTTTAAATATGGCTTCAGTAATGCGTTTACTATGCAGTAAGTCTCAAAATTGAAATTATATTTTAAATCGCATGTGTTGCAATCGCTTTCATTGTAAGGATTTTTAGTGGTGATCTGTATATGTTTAGCTGTTCTTGTTGAGTTGATATATAGAAAATTACAACTGGAAGTATTCGTTGGCTGACATTTATTTGTTTCGTTGGCATTGATAACACATCCTTCATCACAAATGGGTCCATTTTGAATTGAGTCGTACACAACGGAGATCTTTTTATCCGATAAACACTCGCAGGAAAATTCTTAATTTTAGAAACAAATAATATAAACAACATAATTCTGATCTTTAATAACAGAACATAAACAAAAATATATGAAAATAATTCGGTTTCCGTTTGAATTGCAATAATAGATATTATAAATTACGTGGATGACACATATATTATATCTACACAACTAATTTTCAAAAGTATAGATTATGTTATATATAAGGCATTTTTTACATAAACTGTAAAAAGATTGTAAAAATATTTACAATTACAATTTAGGAAAAGGTTTTATTATCTTACGGGCTATCTAAGAATTATTAAATATTAATTTACGGGGAAAGGGGTGCGCCGCCTATATATTCTTCTTAACTACATCCACCACAATAAGTAATATTTGCTTAGATTTTACCTCTATTTTCTGTCAATCGTATTATAAAAATACGAAAATACTGTAATATATATATGTATATATATTTTACATAAATTATTCTTTTCACCTAATTGTTTGGTATCATCCCATTCTTAAGTTGTAGAAAAGTTTTTTAAAATTGTTTTTTTTTATATTAACTTTAAGGTAAAATATACACATTTATAGTAAGATTATCACCAGTAAAGTAAGAATTAGCTGCTATAATTGTTTTGACATAAATTGTGTAGCTCATCCTATTTGTAGCGGTTTAATAATAGTTTACGTTTATTTCAGATGTAATTTAAAGAAGTTAGTGTTCATTGAAGCCAAAGTCATTATAACAGCATTAAAATTCCAGATCTGTGAAACGTGTATTTTTCTGGAAATGGTTTAGTTCGTTGGTTCTATATTCTGAATCATTGGTTGAGTTTATAAACAAATTTATTTATACTAGATTTATATGAGATTTATATTTGTAATTTTAGTTGTCAAAAATTTTCATATTGCATTGAAAGTAACATCAATTGACATCTAAAATTATAAACATGACAGCTAAAACTACACCAAAACTCTTGTGTGAATCTAGTATTAATCATCGCCATCATTTTAGAATGTGCAAATCAAATGGGGTTCGATACAATCACACAAAAAAGTCGGTATATTTGGATTAAAATAAATTCAGTAAAGAACTAGTTCACAGCCATGTAAATCATTACCAATAACACAGTTTTGATTGGTTTTTTTTTAATTCTGCTTACAACTTTTCCTAATTGAATATTAATGAAAAATTCTAACAATCTTAGATATTTCACTGTAACACATGTACTAAAGAAATAATTTGAAATATTACGTCAAATTAAACAAACCACAATATTGGCCTTAGAGGGGGTCTTCATATATGTTCGTTTAATTAATATGGATATGTTAAATCGATACTTACTGTTTGCAGTTGGTTGCAAATATTTATTCTCACTATTGCATGCGATGCACTTAAAAAAGTTCAAATCATAATATTCGTTTTGTCCACATTGTCTTATAGGCGTATAATGAAAGAGGGAACTGTTTGTGGTAAAATTTTTTAATTGTAAAGTAAGGGATTTGGCACATTTAATCCCAAAAAATAGTAGGAAGAACAATTTCACATAACGGAAGATCATTTTACATACTTTTATTGGAGTTCTTAAAATTTTCTTCTTTCAAAATATTTGTAAATAACTAAACTCCGACGAATGATTGAATTGATATTTTGAATAGAACAAGCGCACAACACAATTGAATCCAAACAACTAAAAAAAATAATGTCAAGTTTCTTTGTTTGTTTAACAAGCCAAAATGAGTTGCTAGGATACTTAGTCCTTTAAATTACCAACCACTCATACCCAATCTACATAAAGAAGTATTTGCTTGACTTAACTTTTAGCTTTAAACAAACAATCCCCATTATATTAGTTGCACATTCTTTAGTCTTGTATTTTCGGAATTAAAAAATTTTATGAGTGGGTTTTAATTTTGAAGAAATCAATATTTAACTGAAGGAAGAAATATACCATTTATTGACGAGAAAGGAGTGTTCTAAAATATTTTCATTTGCAATTTCAGTTATCAGTCCTGGATGTATTTGTCTTTGATTAGTTTTCAATAAGTTGATATATCTTTTAAAAGGAGATAGAAGGTGGAAGAATTGTGTGTTAAATCTTCAATCTTAGACTATCTTAGACAATCTTAGACTGGGTCATACTATATACAGAAATTATCCTTTCATCTTGATGACTGACAGACTCAAAATATTTTTTAATAACTTAACGAGTATATTTTATTGTAGTCGATTTATTTATTTATTTTTAACTATTTCTTTATTTATTTGAAATATTAAGTTTATAAACACATTTTAAAAGTACATTCATCGCAAAAAAATTTGAGGTCCCATAAAGCAAATAACAGATAGGAGAGCCAATCTCAAATACTATATTTGAGAAAAATTTCGTGTTAAAATACTAGATTTTGATACGCTTATTTAAATTCTGTCCCCTGTGCGTCTTAGCTATAACTTTAATATTATTTATTTAGAAATTTATTTTGCTTTAAATTTTGTAACAAAAAAAATAAATTTATGCATAGGTTTTGTCTAGCGATGACCAGTCCAGTCCAGTTAACTAGCATTTTTATTTATATTATTCAAGGCATTTATATAGTGGTGTTTCAGGAGGGATTTTCCTCTTTTACTATTTCGTTTCTTGTCAATCAAATTTTCGACTGTATTTCATGGAGGACTTAAAACGAGTTCACGATGAATGAAGACAATTTCAATATCATCACTCGATTGTAGTGCTTGTCGGATATAAAACATCAGTACATATATGGTAATAAAATCCAAACTAATACTACAATAAAAAAAACATTAAAATTTTATATCGTTTTAATATAAACAACTTTATTTGTAAAAAAAAATTGGTTTTTAATAATTCTTTATTAAAATTATTTGTACATAAATAAAAGTAATTCTATAACAAATATTCTACAACAATGAAATGCTGTGTTATATAATGCAAAATTAATAAAGAACAATACTATAATAAAAAAATATAAACAAATATTAACATATATAAGGATTATATTACTTAAAAAAATATATATAACTTAAGTCATTTAGACTGCGGCTTCTGTTACGATTTGTAAAATAATACGTCTCTTTGGATCGTATGAAAATCCGTTTTGTTTAAATAATTCACTATCATAGAAGGGTTTCAAATTAAAAATATCAAGTTGCTTTGCTCGCTCTATTAGATCGCGTTCCATTATTTCGACATGCGTTGCTGTTGGTCCATCCTTGCAACGTATATATGCCAGTTGATCAAGCGTAAGTTGACGTAAAATAAAGAATAACAATTCGGAGTGATCTTTTTTGAAAGCCAAATATTTCTGGAATGTGCTGCGCATTTTCTTCATAACACTAAACTTCTGCGCTTCAATAAAGCTTTCCAACATCATACGTATGGCCATGTTAACATCAACTTCTGTGACACTTTCTCGTAAGTGCATACGAGCATGTGCTTCCGACATACGTATAACACTCTCGATGTGACGAACAGTTATAGGCAAAGAGCCCGTAGCAAATGATTCCTGACGTAGTTGTGAATACATTTTTGCTATTTTATCCTCATCAATATTCTTGAAATAATAAATAATAATTGAAATGTAAACAACTTCTAAATGAAATATATATATATATATATATATATATATATATATATGTATAATAAATTATACTTACTGTTAGTTTTGGCCGTATATTCTCTTTTGAATAAACTATGTACTGTCGCAACAAATCCTGTGGTATTTCACTTACGTTAGAAACTTGTGAATCTTCTATAATTTCTCCATGGGAAGGATGATGTTTTATATGCGAGTTTACAACAAATTTAGCTAATTGTTGATCTTGCATTGGATCAAATTCGTCTTTCACAACACAAAGTATATCAAAACGAGATAGTATTGGTTCTGAAAGATTAACATTTTCTGAAAAAGTCATCGACGGATCGTAACGGCCACCAATTGGGTTAGATGCAGCGATGACTGTGCAACGCGCTTGCAGAGATGTAACAATTCCAGCTTTAGATATAGAAATAGATTGCTGTTCCATAGCTTCATGAATTGAAGTACGGTCCTGATCATTCATTTTATCAAATTCGTCAATAAGACAAACACCCTGATCTGCTAATACCAATGCACCCGCTTCAAGTGTCCATTCCTTAGAAATAGGATTGCGGCGCACATAAGCAGTTAAACCAACAGCACTAGCACCTTGGCCAGTTGTGAAAACCGCGCGTGGTGCAATTTTTTCCGTATATTTTAAGAACTGAGACTTAGCAGTACCAGGATCACCACATATTAATAAATTGATATCGCCTCTTACTTTGTGTTTCTCACCAGGGTTTTTGGATTCACCACCAAAAAGTGCTAGTGCTAACGCACGCTTAATGTAATCATGTCCATATATAGATGGAGCCATTGAACAAATAATGCGTTCTGCAATCCTTGGATCTTTACTCAATTTTTGTATCGTCGCAATATCTTCATCTGTCAAAGACTGTACTACTTGTTTACTATCTTTTACAACAACATGATTTGCAATAATAACTGTGGCGAATACAGGAAAGCCTTGCTCAGTATTCAGTGAACCATCATAGTTATTTGTATAAATGCCAGTTACTTCCAGCTCATCACCTGGCTTGCATAAGTCGCAAAGATCCGCTAATAAAATAACATCTTTGCTACGAGGTATTCGTCCTGCTGGTATACGTCCAGGAGATTCTTGTAAAGTTATTTTTTGATAGTTACGATACAATGTTTGTTCCATATTAATCTATAAAATATACATTCAATTTTTTTTATATACGATAACCACTGCATAACTTATAAAATACTCACAGAAAATGGACCAGTACTCTGACACTCCGGACATGAGCCAGGCTTTACTTCAGAATTCTGTGTTTGAACAAATGGACCTAAAACATAGCCACATTTAACACAATCATATTTAATGACAGATAGTTGTGGCAGTACACCAGTGGTCGCAGTTACAACTCCCAACGTGCGCACCAATTGATTTAAATGTAATTTTCGGAACGTACGCAACTCCTCAATAAGTGGCAGCTCAGAAATTCTAACGTGGATTTCAGTGGTTACACGTTCATATGTTGGAAATATAGACAAAACCATATCCTTGGCAACTCTATCAAAAATTTCCAACATTTGAAATGGAGCTTCTGGCAAGAAATAAGCAAGAACATGCTCTTTATTTGCCAGATCAGTGTATGATACAACAAAAGACGACTTATTTTGTTCACACATTCTTCGGATACGATCGCGATATGTATAAGCGCCACGATCGTCAACAAATGTTCGTAAAAATGATTGAAACCTGTGTGCAATTTCTGTGCGCGGTCCCAACATACTAACCCATTCTTTAGTTGAATGGCCTTTAGTATCCTCAAGGTTTTCAATTGATTCAACCATTTCAGTATCTTCTATATCACCCATAGCTGCCTTTTCACCTGCACGACGCTTTGCACGCGGTCCAGCGTCATCATCATCGTCACTATCATCAAAACCCAAATCACGATCATCACGATGTATACCCTTTGCACGATCACGACGTTGCATTTCAGCTTCCGCTGCTAGCCGTTCACCCTGTGACATATCATCATAATCTTCTTCATCCAACAAAGCAGGGTCATAATGATCAAGTTCCGGCATCGGACGATAATCATTTTCCATATTATCACCAAATAATTCTTCCCCATCTTCTTCCTCTTCTTCATCGTGTACAGTTTGGTCACCAAGGATTTCATCTTCATTTTCAAACGGTTCAAAATCACCAACTGGAGAAGTCATCGCAGCACGAAGTTCTCTTCGCTCCGACGCATCACTTCCTGGTGTAGGTGGTGGTGGTGAACTCAATTGATCCTAAACATATTCATTGAGTAAAAATATTTATATTACTATAATTATTTATATCATACCATAATCCTTATATATATTTAACAATTATCTGAATATCAAAATACGATGCTTGATGCGTTCAATAACAATATGCTTTTATAAATATATTTTTGGCGCGAATTTTGACGTTTTGCGCTTTCTATTAATTCCTATTTGCGCGATTAAGGGCATTAACACAATGAAGACGCTGACAGTCAAAGAATTATAAATATTTTTTCTTAATGTGAAGTGAATTTTTTGTTAATTCTGCAGAGAATATCCATGATTTATTCCATTTCGAATAAAAAGTATATAAATGTTGTATAGAAAAACCATATATTAGCGTGACAGTGTTATTCAATTGCCATTTTAATTCTTTTGTAATCTTACTTATCTCTGATCCGCAACGTTGTTCTCTTGGATTTATCATAACAATATATAAATTAAATTCATTAGCCACATTTTATATATAAACCTTAACATGACTGTGCAGTATATTATTAGTTTAAAATAAATGAAAGAATATAGTTCCAAAACTTTTAATAGAAACAAGTAAATAATTCATTTATAAAAAATTGATAATGGAGGGTATTTGATTTTTAGTAAAACCAATACAATTTTTTTATTAAAAGATATTTTAACACATTATAAAATGTAAAATTCATTTCATATATAAAATATGACAAATATAATAACGTATACATTATAACTCTCGAATAAGATAATTTTGTTAAATACTTTTTTCTATGTACTCAGTAACTAGAGCCAGATATAGACCAGGGCTGTCCAGACCAGATGCAATAATAAGCCAATTCAAATCAGTGTATAGATTGGAGGGCCGCAGAAACAAATACATACCATCATAGTTGTTTTCGACAAAAATAAAAATACGGTTATAATGTTAAATTTAGTTATTATTTTATCAATTTGAATTCATTTATTTGGTATACCATAAAAATAAAATAATATGGTTTTACCAGTACACCAAAAAAAAAAAAAATTTGCGTAATTGTAGTAGATTAAAAACATGTCATGCGGGTCATACTTTCGACAGCCCTGATATAAACGATGATAGATGTAAGTCCGCTTTAGTGAGTAAATGTAATTTTCTTGTAAGAAATCGACTGGGAGGTGAGAATATTTCAAATCTTTGCTTATGGTGTGTTAATTCTCAGCAAAAAGTGTTTATAAAATTATGTTAGGCAACTCCTGAATAAAAATGATTTTACATAACATAACCAATGGATCAATGGCTCAATATTTAGCATTTAATTATATCTGGCCCGTTTTGTAGGGAATAATTACAAAATTATAATCTACTGTATTTAAATATATAATAACATCAGAGAAAACATTTGAAGTTTCAAATAAAATTATATCAAATTATTTGAAAGAAAATAATCAGTAATAAAATCTATTTAAAATTTTATTAAATATCATCTTCAATACCCATTTCTTTACTAAAATCTTCTTCCGAGATTTTATTTTTCTTTAATTTTTTAAAAAGTCTGATGTCATTTGCTAGTTCATCCAAATCCTCCTGTGTATATTGTTGTTTCCGTTTTTTTGCCTTTGGAACGTTATCAGCAGTTTCTGCATCTTTCTTCTTTTGTTTTTTCGCCTTTCGTAATTCTTTTTTAGTTTTTGCATTTAATTTTGCAGTTTTTGTGTTGTCCCAAGCTTCCGTTTGCTTTTTGAATTTTTTCTTTCCTGGCCACTCTCCAGTTACTTCAAAAGTTTTCACCTTTTCTTGCCTTACTCGTTCTTTCTGCGAATTTTTATATGTTAGTTTCGTAATATCAAATTCAATTTCAGGAGAAATGAAACTGTCGGAATTGTATTTTTTTAATTCTGGCATACGTGGCATTTGTAGTAGGCCATATGCTGTACCCATAGCGCCTAAGTCAAGATCTTTTAGTCGCAAAATTGCATTACACTCGTGCTTGGTGTAGGCACGTACATGTGAAACAAAAGCTCTCACCGCTTTATCGTAAATGGCTTTATCTGAAACCTGTCAAGTATGTTTCAGTATCGATTATTATATTAATAATTTTATTGATCATACCTGTAACGTGTGAATTTTCTTTAATGTTGATTTAAGTTCAATTGAGTCGAAATCACAGTTTTCTAACGCGCGTAATTGGACTTTTTGATTTATTTTTAAAAATGTTATATAGGCGTCTTCACTTGGTAGTAGAAATACTAAAGCATTGCCATACTGCTCCTGTCGAGCTGTGCGGCCAACACGATGAACGAAACTAGCTGCATTCGATGGTGGATCCCATTGTAACACCCAATCAATTTCAGGTACATCTAAACCTCTAGCAAGAACATCTGTACAGAGAAGTATAGCCTTACCTTCTGTACGGAATCGTTCTATTACATTTTTGCGTTTCGATTTCATCTTGCCATGAATTCCCAATATGGTCCTTTTTTTTATAAAAATTGGCAAAACTTCTATCCAATATTCAACACAAGCACACGTTGGGAAAAATATCATAACTTTGCCATCGGTAGCTGAATTTGATAGAAAATTTAAAAGGGCAATAAATTTTTCTTGAGGTTCTACAATTTTATAAAAGTTTAGTAGACGAACGGGAGTGTTAATAGTTGACTTTTCTTTTACAGACACTAACACCGGATTACGTAGTCCAGCACGTATTAAATTAGTTACTTCAGTTGTTTGTGTAGCTGAGAATAAACCGGTACGTCTTTGACGTGGTAAATAATTAAGTATATTATTGATGGTTAAATGGAAGCCCAAATCTAGTAGGCGGTCTGCCTCATCTAGTATAAGTAATTCCTGAAAGTGAATTAATTATATATTAATTAAATAATTAAATATATATTTAATGAAATTCTTACCAAGCTTTTAACTCTAGCAGAAAGGTTTAGATTACTTTTTCTTTGAAATAAGTCATCTAAGCGTCCTGGAGTGCTAACTAAAATGCAAGGACCATCTTTTTTCAAAGATAAAATGTCTTCTTCAATGTTGTTACCGCCCACAATAAGTTTTTGACGTAAGTGCTGAAATGCGGTATTCTCCAAAAACGTACTTAAAACATCAGAAATTTGCGAGGCAAGCTCACGTGTTGGTGATATAATTAGAGCTCCAATTTCATTTTTTGACCAAGGATTCTCTTGATGTCGACGTTGTAATATTTCAATAAGTGGTACAATAAAAGCTAGCGTTTTACCAGATCCTGTAACAGCTTCAGCAGAGACATCTTTTTGCGCTAATAATAATGGAATTGTTGCTGCCTTTAATGTTATACGATAAAATATAGTTTTTATTTTAGAAACTAGAAGCAAGAGAGAACTCACTTGTACTGGTGTCATTGTTTTGAATCCCATTAGTTCGATTATTTCTAAAGTTGGCACAGACAATATTTGCTTGTCTTTGTTCAAATCTGTCCATTTTTTACGGGACATTTTTATGCAAAGCTTTTGAAATATATGCAATTAATTTAAATAAAAATATCTTAACAAAAAACAAATAATTCCAGCACGTGCCAACAGTTTATTAAATCCAAATTTTTGTTTTTATATTTACATCTTGCAAGCATATTCGCAATACCGTAAGTGTTGTAAAGTGCCCAAAATGATAGTCATCATTTGTATTACTTGCAAAGTAAATACATTATTATCATGATAAATAGCATATATTGTAATATATATTATAATATGAGGTGATAAATGCTTAAATATTATATTATATTTTATTATATTTAAAATATTTGCTAAGTTTTTAATTAAATTAATAATTACATCGAATATATTCCATTAGATAATAAAAAAGATATAATTGATTTGTGTATAGATTGAATTAATAAGAGTATAATAAGTGTATAAGAGTGTGAATAAATTATTATTGGTTGAAGTTTTCTTATTGTATTAACCTATTGTAACTAATGAAAGTATTACAATTATTCAAAATAGGTGTTTAAGTTGATCATTTTGATTTAATTTCAATAAATGATACTATAGGTCATGTATAATTATATAAATTTTATTTACGTTTTTTTATATTAGCGATACAAACCAATTAGAATTTGTATGCTAAAGCTTAGAACAAATTATGTTTGTTTTTATTATATAGCGCAATAAAAATAACAACTTTGCGTTTTAATGGTAATAAAACTCATACTAGAATAAATCAAAGTTATAGTTCGTTTAAGCTGAGATTGTATAATGTACAAACCAATTATGTTATATATATCTTACACAAATCAATAAGAACTTTAAGACCAAAACTTGAAAACAGATTATATTTCTTGAATTCTTTATAAATAACTTTTAGCGTAAGAAAAAAACAACTTTGTTTTTTAATGGTGATAAATCAAGTATTAAAATAAATCTGTAATAATAATTCAATGGCATTTATTGTTATTCGTATTTCCATCAATGCCATCTTATGTAGAAAATATTCATAATTGTATCTCTGTTAGTGCTTTTCAATTTATTTCAAAGTAATAGCCTGTTCAAATTGGCATTTGATTTAATGCAATAAACATAAGTATTGCAATTAAATAAAATAAATGTTTAAGCTACACATTTGGATTAATTGTAATTAAATTACAATTGTATTTATATTATATGTTGTATTTATATTATGCGAATTTAATACAAATCGTTTTTAAATTATAGTACTTTGTTGAAAAAGTTGAATAATTGTAGCTTGAACGGTCTATTAATTTATATATTTTTGCTATTCATGTTCTGTCAAACCTGGCGTATTGTCAGTGCAATAGTGTAACATGGCATTTATACTGGTCTCAAATGGCTCATTTGGAATGAGTCATTTGAAAGTGTTTATATTCTGAAAATTGAAAACTTATTTTTAGCTTCGATTAATTTATTTTTGGGAAATAGAAGTTCCAAAAAGAGGTGCATCGTTTTTAAGGAAATGCAACCACTAAACATTTGTTTACCTTTTTTCTGTAAATATGTCAAAAACGGGTTTCTCAAACTGTCATAATGTCATGAAAAGCTTTTATTTAGGTTATGTTCATGTATTCATTTGCATTTGGAACATATTTGGAACTCATTCTAAACTCGTTGGAACTCATTTTTACAGAATGGGATCCATTCATTGAATCCATTCATTTGCGCTTCAGATTTTGTATGCAAAAATGCGTTATTTAGTTCTCATTTTTGATATCTGACAAAAATGCGCCATTCGAGGCTAGTGTAAATGCCATATAACACTGAATTCGTACAAGAGTTTTGTTTGTAATTTTGGCTGTCGAAAATATTCATGAAAGTTACAAGTGTCAGATAAAATAACAAACATGACAGTTAAAATATCAAACAAAACGCTCGAGTGAATCTGGTATACAGTACATAATAATTGTATGGTTGCACATAAATATCGTGAATTGTTTAATTTTATATTTTGATCTTCAATATAATTGCAATTTGTAGCTGTTTAGTATTATTGAGTTAATTAAAAATACTAAATAAACGTATAAAATGTGTGTTGCTGTCTTATTTTTATTGTTTTTCCTTAAAATGTTGATATTTTTAATTTTATAAAAAAAACTTAATTTAGAATAAGATGAAAAAATATGTTCACTTTGTATGGGCTCAACCGGGATTTGAACCCGGGACCTCTCGCACCCGAAGCGAGAATCATACCCCTAGACCATTGAGCCGGTTGTCTGCACTTGTGTCAATGTTTAATCACAAGCATAGCGGTGTGTTCGAAAAAGCTTTAGCTTAATAAATGAAATATCTTCGAATTTCATACTTTGAAAGACCGTACCAAACACCATATATAATGACCGTATTAGCGTAAAGACGCAAAGACCGTATTATTTTATATGCATTGAATTAAAATGCCGTATTATTAATTGGAGTCAGCATTTTTGGTTAACAAAACCAAAATTATTATGTATTATGTTTTAAATGTATTATTAATACAATACTAAAACGAATAATTTTTTTTGCTTAATTTTGTTTTTCTTCTAAATTAAAATTTGTCCTAAAGGTGCTAAACAAGAGAGTATGTGAAGGGAAGCAATTAGGCTTATATTTGGCATACTGAATCAGTTTGTCTTTTTAATTTAATGCATTAATGTGATCTAAAGATCACAGTTTTTGTTACATTTGTATAAGTTTTTATATTTTTAAGAAGATAAATGATTTAATTGTGTAATAAAATCTTTTATGATAATTTTAATATTTTTATATTATTATTTAATTTTTTATATTTAACGTTTGACATCTTCTGGTATGCGGCTCAATGGTCTAGGGGTATGATTCTCGCTTTGGGTGCGAGAGGTCCCGGGTTCAAATCCCGGTTGAGCCCGATTTCTTTTTAATTTTAAAAACTTTTTTTTTATTAAATTATACGAAGCTATAATATATACATTTTAGTTTTAAATCAGTTATGATTTAATGCTCTGTTAAGAGTTTTTATTTTGAGATATTGTTAAATTTTTTATCAATTTATCAAAATTACTAGCGCATTAATGGTCTCATTGTAGACTTCGTCTTAAACCATGTAAAAGCCTATGGGAGGCTTGTGACTTCTAGTAGTAAAACTTTGGATGCTTGAGAATGTACAATTATTGGACTCGATTTAATAATATTCTTTTCAAGTAAAAAAAACTTCATTCAATTTTTAATGTACCTCTTTATTTATTTCTTATTTTACCATTAACTATTTTATGTATTATTATTGTACTTTACTTTGAAATTATCACATATTATTTAAAAATATATTATAAAATCTATTATTTCAATAATTCAAAGTATAGCTTATATTATTATATCATAATCATGTGTATATTATATATCAATATTATTATTATATCTATTATTACATATAATAAAAATACCGTGTAAGATAAGTTTCTTCTAAATTAAAGAAGATGGATTTCGTTAATTGTCGGAAAATTGAATTTTGCTACAGGTTATCTTTTGATATTAAGATATCAAGGCAACATAATGCTTCATACGGTTTCCGAAATATGTAATATTAATATGTAATACTTTTTAAATTGTCTTTAAGTATGTACTGTTTAAAATAAAAGAGAAAGGTATAAAATCCGTGAGAAAAAAGAGGGAAAACAATAGACCCAAAGATAAATAGGTAGGAAGAAAGGGAATGAATATCATCTACATTCAAGGGATTATTGATTACTTAAACTTGATTTCAACAATTTGATGTGCTTCAAATTTATGTGTACTATATTTTACTTCTTTCAAAGGTAAAAGTAGCCTTTAAATAAATATTGTCCTATACACAAGAATAAAGTTAAGAATAGTTTTAAATAAGACATGTAGTAAGCTAATATATTAATTATTCAAATACCTTAATAATATTGATTATTAATTTATTGAATAACTAATAATTTATTAAATATCTAATAGTTTTTGTTCTACTAAATTCAGTAATTTTTCTGTGTTTACGTTAACTATACTTAATAAAAATAAATGTACATATATAAGCATAGAATTTATATTGCTTTATTGTTTCATGAACTTTCGAGATATAGCACAAAAGATCGGTCAAGGTCGCAGTTGTCTACCCCCTTGGGAACCCACTGTTTATTTTTACCTTCTACTAAATTATAAGTTAAATTAGTCTCGTTCATATTTAATATCTTTAATAGTACTCTTAGTTCTTAGCTATACCAATTAGTCATAAATCAACCTATATTAAAATAAAAGTTTTAAATTTTTTTTTTATTAATTGGGACAATTTCTTTTCCTCTACTCCGCGAGGTATAACGATTAAAGTCAGTTTTATTCCAGATTTCAGTTTTATATTGAAATGTGAGCTTGTTGCAAATATCAGAGGTCAGTGACGGCAGCCATGAATTTAAAGTTATTTCTGTCGTATATTAGAATCAAATTGTAACTTAAATAATTTTTATGGAGATACTCTTAAGTATAGCGAAAATAGGCTTTGGTCGTTAAACGAAAATAGGTCTTTTGCCAAATAAGCAAGCTAAGCATAAACAACGCAGTTGCAATAATTCGTGTAATTATTTTGTATAAAATTTTGGACTAATTTAATTAAGCTGATAAAACAAAATTTTAATTTATTTATTTACATTTAATTTACACTTAAATATATTTTCCATAAGTTTAATTTATATTTTTTTTTATATCATAATTTATTTAGAAGAAAAAATAGATTGAAAATTATTCTAAGTTGTCCTAAGCTGGGCCGAATTACCCATTTAGTCATTCTATTGAACTTATTGATAGTCTAAGCAGAGGTATGTATCGGTTGTAAACCATAATCTCCAACTTTTAAGTACAATCACACCAAACCACAAACCGAATTTTTCAAATTTTACCTGGAACCGCTGGTTGGTTCAATAATTTTAATGGTAAGAGAGCTTTCTCTTCTGTTCACACAGCGCATAGGTGCCGTTTTATCACCACACTATTGTGTATATATTTGATTCAGATTATATGGTATAGCATACCTTATATAACTGTATTGGTGGAAATACTCACTCATTCGTAATTTATTAATTTTTATGCTGTTCTCTTCGTTCAACTGTACACAATTTGTTCATTGTTTTTGCCTATTATTAGTGCTTGAATTGTGTACAAATTGCTTAGAAATATGACAATTAAAAATTCTTAGACCTAAAAGTATATTCAGTCTTAACAAATGTGTAAGAAATCTGAATATAATAAAATTAATCTAACATACTGAAGATGCCAGATAAATTGCAATGGTTCTTAGAGGAGAGAACCGAGCGAAGATCCTGTCGGATCTTAAACAATGCAAAATATAAACATAAGCAATATTTTTATGTACTGTTATGCTGTCTATATCTAACGTCTTACTTATTCCGATCTAAGTTAGTTAAGGTATTTTAAGTATCCTATACTAAATATTTACGAATTTTCACAGAATAGGGGAGTTCTATTCTGTAAATTTGGTAAATTCAACTTCATGCTTATATAAGACTGACTGTTTATCAAGGTTTTGGTATTCTGTGCTATATATAAAAATTTCTTTTCTTGATAAATTGTCAAGATGATACAATGAGATGCATATACTTTAATTAATCAAAAATTCAAAGTCTAGTCCCACTTCCATTACAAGTTTATTATATAAAATTTTCACATGGTTAAAAAAAATATAATCTTTGCAGTGTACTTTTTAGTTTATTCTAAAAATTCAATAATTATCTAAATGAATGGTGTCAGTCGGGTTTGTAAAAAATAGTTTATCTATTTAACTTGAATGGTATATGCTTGAGATTTACAGACATATATATATATATACAATAACTTAATCATATGCGTGGGGTCGCAAAATTTTAGATTGCAAGATTACAAACAACAAAAATTAGGCTATCGAAAGAAGTGACGCTGCAATTCTTTAGGTTTTCTAGTTTTTGTGTTCTACAAATTTAAGAATTTACAACGTTTGCAGTATGTAGCCAGAAAAAGTCTATTTTTGCACGTTCTGTGCGTTATTGAATTCAGTGTTCGAGAAAACTTCATTGTGAAAGGTTTTAAGTGAAAAGAAAATTTATATATTTTGCCGTGTACTGAACAGTTATACGCATTTAAATATTTGTGATAATATAGTCCTTGCTATATATATAGGACTCATAAATTATAATCATTTTTGTTAGTGTCAGTGAAATTAAATTTTGCATGCTTTAAATATGAATTGGGTAGGACCCCTTGATTAAAGAAACTAGCGCATTAAAATTTATAAACAATCAAATTTTTATTTAGCATTCACGACAGTTATTTGTCTCAATTTTTGTGGTGCTGGTTTTGACAAAGTTTGTAATCAGTGACGTGACAAATGAATCTGAAGATGATTTACAAGCAGCTGAAACACCTGAACAATCTTCTGTTCCAGTCCCAGATTCATTAGATAGTGATACTGCTAGAACTTCACCACCAGTACCAACGGATTCTGCAGATAGTGTCACTAGTTCTCCAGTAAATGGTGATGCCTCAGTACCTGCAAAAAGTTCTGACATTGATACTACTCAAGTAATTTAACTGAATTATTTATTATATTAATTATTTTTTACTATTTTGGTTTTGATTTTGAAGTTGCTAGGACAAATACGTTTACCACTTTTTAATCAAGACTTTGGGCAAGCATTAGGACATAGTTTGGGTCAAGGATTTGGACAAGGGATTGGGCCAACTATGCAATTTTTTGGTACACTTTTTCCTACAATCAACACTCTTCTATCCGGAGCGCAGCTTTTAGGTGCACCAGTTGATCAACAAGCTGCTGCATCTAAAGTTATTTTGGTGTTAGCTGATGATCATGATACATCTGCACCTTTAGTTTCTAGATCAGTACCTGAAAATCAACAAGTTGCACGGCTTGCTCGTCAAAATCAACAGCCTTCACCATTGCCTACTTCAAACCCGGCGTTGGCTCAATTGATGCAATCAATTTCCCAATTAAATTTGCAACAAATTCTTCCACAGGATTCTGATTCATTGCTGGGGCAAGCTCTGCAGACAGGCAATTTGCTTTTGTCAAGTAATAACACACAATCTGGACAAATTTTGCAACAAACTCAAAAACTATTAAAAGACACCATTAACTCAGATCTTGGTCAAACTCTTGGACAAGCATTCCCAGGACTAGGACAAGCTACATTCGGACAAATTGATCTCACACAATTACCAAATTTTGCCCAACTAGTTCAAAATGGAAACGTTCCTGCACAAACTGGTGAATCAGTCGTCGGTTCAGCTCCGGATGTAGACGGTACAACAGATTCACAATCACCACCAGATCAATCACTTGCCGAACCTATTGCATCCGAACCAGAAAGTTCTCCAACTCCACCTCCTGCTCCTCAGGTGCCGACATTGATGAAATTTGCACCAATGCAAGCAGTTATGGATGGTGGTCAATTGCTAGGTAGCGCTCTTGAACAAGTACCACAACCATTTCAAAACTTTCAATTTTTCCCAAATTGGCGTCCAATGCAACCTGGTCCTATGAGCGCAGCCGCTTCGGAAATTTCAGAAGTACGCATAAAACCAAATGATAGCGTGCAAAGTAAAAGTGTATCAAAAACAAAATCATCGCCTTCGGAGAAAATATCTGAAATGAAGCTTAGAGCGCAATTGCAGGAAGCGCTTGGTAAGAAAAATGTACCGATACTTTGGTTTAGCATTCCTCCACAAATAAAGAGCAATCATAATGAGAAAAATCCTGAAAAACGTATAATAAAATCTCCTGCGGATATTTTAATAGAGTCTAAATTGAAAGCTTTTGAACGTCAAGTTATATACGAGTTAAGATTGTTGCAAGAAATTGAACGTGAAGCTAAAAAATTACGCTCAGCTGCTACAACTAACTTGGCAAATATGAAAAATGATTCTCCTTATAAACTGACATATCCGTTAAGTAAAACACCAGTTTACAAAATCACTAAAGATGATATTGAGAAAGCTTTGAGAGATGAATATATGGGAAAATTGCTCCAAACAGCCGCTCAAAATGACTTAAAATTCACAAAAAAAAATGTCGATTCCGATGTGAAGCCGAAGTCGAATCTGACTGCAGTTCCAATAAAACGCCAAGTTATGGCAAATGATGCTTCTCTTAAAAAACAGATGACAAATGAGGATATCATCAAAATGCTTGTGTATGCTTATCGACGGGCTAACGCGAATCCAGAAGAAATGACAACTAAACTCGAAAGCACTGAAATGATAAAGAGCGAATTTAAAAATAAAGAAGTCGAAAATAAAACGCTCCAAAATGCAGACGAGAAGCACATGTGTACACAACATAAAGAAAAATCAATGGAAAGCCAATGGGCAGATACCAATAAATCAATAAAAGAAAAAGAACATAGACAATGGGTTGATGTTCAATCGAAACCACAAATAAAAGACCCGCGCCAGTGGGTAAACCAAGAATTAGATAAATTAACACCTGTTGAACGACAATGGGCAGAACAACAGATAACAAAGCAAATTGCTGATATGGTGAAAAGTAAACTTCCTCAACAACGCCAATGGGCCGAAAAACTCATAAAAGACTTACCTCCAGCAGAAAGACAATGGATTGAGCAGCAGGCTTCACATAAGAAAAATGATCAAACAGAGCATGAAGAAAAGCTTACGAAGCCGACAATGTCGCAACGTCAATGGGCAAATCAGGAAGACGGCGATTTGGCACCTATTGAACGACAGTGGGCGGAACCAGAGAATATGAAGAAAAAAAGTGACATGGAAGGAAGTAAAATTCCTCAACACCGTCAATGGGTGGAAAAGCCACAAATTGAAAAAAGTCCTACAAAGTCAACAAGCTCCCAACGTCAGTGGGTAAATCAAGATATGAGTAAATTAAATCCTGTTGAACGGCAGTGGGCAGAACAACAGGCTATGAAGAAAGTAGCTGATGCAGAAAAATTAACAAAAGATTTCCCACATGTACAAAGGCAATGGATTGAGCAGCAGGGTTCACAAAAAAAACATGATCAACCACAACGTGAAGAAAACCCAACGAAGTCGACATCAATTTTGCAACGTCAGTGGAGTCATCAAGGGGAAAAAAATATGCCAGTCGAGAAGCAGTTGTGGACTAAAGAGAGAATTAATGATAGTATGGATAGAAAACAGTTTGCAGAACAACCACTGAATCAACGACAATGGTTAGATGATAAGATGAGTGAAAAAACTAAATTCTCTGAGAAATCGTCACAATGGAATGTGAATGTACAAGAAAATGAACTATCAAATCAACAACGACAATGGGCAGAGCAAAGAACTGATAAAGATCAACCTTCAACTGATGTATGGCAACAAAATCAAGAATTGCGAAAAATGATCATGCAACAACGTCAATGGGCTACTCCGTTACGTCAAATGCCGCAAAATCCGCAACAAGTACCAATGATGCATATGCATGAACCACAAACTGGTGCTAGACAGTGGGTTGATAATTCACAACAAAATCAACCTGAAGAACTGAAAACCAATAAGGAAAATATGCAAATGATGCAAAATCATAGGCAAATGAGTAATCCCATGATGATGGCTATTGATGTATCTGAAAAGTCGGGACAGGCTATCGTTGGTGAAGCTGTTCCTCAAATGCCTGAAAATGCTGGGAAAGCACGTCATAGAGGTAATTTATTTGGTGTAGCTCCAAAAAATTTAAATATATTTGATTCAGATAGTAAACAAAATATTTTGCGTACAGATTTACTTGATGATTTAGATATTTTGGAAATTGGCGGTGGACATGGCCATAGAGGAAAAACGGGAACAGTAATAAATTATTACTATACAATGCCAAATAATGAATACGGTGGAAATATGAATTATGGTGGAACTGGAGGTTATGGTCGAACTGGAGGATATGGTGGAGGTGGTAGTTATGGTATGTATGGAGGAGGTGGCAGGTATGGAGCAGGTGTCAGTTATGGAAGAGGTGGCGGTTATGGTGGAGGTGGTAGTTATGGCGCAGGTAACAGTTATGGAGGAGGTAACAGTTATGGAGGAAGTGGCAGTTATGGTGGAGGTAGCGGTTATGGACGCGGAGGCGGTTATGGACCAATTAACAATAATAGAGGTATCGGAGGTTATGGAGGTAGTCGTTATGGAGGAATTAGCAATAACAGAGGTATTGGTGGTTATGGGGGTGGTAGTAGTTATGGAGGAGGAGGAGGTTATGGAGGTGGTAGTGCAGGATATGGAAAAGAAATGAGTTATGGGGGCTCTCGTGGTAATAGCGGTGGTGGTTATGGTGGAGCTCGTGAAGGTTATGGTGGTAATATGGGAAGTGGTGGATATGGTAACAAAGGAAGTAGTAGCAATGGCGCAATTGGATATAGAACTGCCATTGGTAATGATGAAATTGAATCCATGTTACGCTCACATCAAACTTTAGGGGTGAGTTTCAAATTTTAATTCAAAATAATTACCTAATAGTAATTTATTTATTATATCACATACCACATTACATTAGTTCTTTGGCTACATTACATAGAAACACAACCTTATTTTTTATATTTGATTTTACTTAAAAGACACTCATATTCGCAACTAATTAAATCACTCACGTTCATCAACTATTGTTTTTGTAAAAACTTCATATCATTAACAGGCGACGCATTTCAGAAATTAAGGCCCCATGTATCAAACGCACGCAGTAAGAACACCTCAGACGACAAGCAACAGTATCACAAGAAACCTGACAACACTAATTTAATTTCAACAGCGACAAATTATTCATCAGATATTGTCAAAACTTCTTCGGAAGAGGAACCCGCTTCAAGGTTAGCAAAAAATTTAATTTCTAATGCAATAAGAGTTAGGTCGATGCGTTATGCAAAGGCGTTAAGAAATAAACGAAATGCGAATTATGGTACTATACATGCTATTGATGAAAAATCTCTGAATGAACTGCGAAATACGTACAAATCAACACTTAAAGAAATCACATTACAGCCCGACGAAGATCCTGCTGAAGCTTTGATGCGTCACAATGCAGCTTCGATTCGTGAAGCTCTAGAACGTGCTAGTCACGAACCAGTAAATATTTCAGGTACAGAAGATTTTGAAGCAAAAAGCAACACTATCTATAAGCATGCGGATGAACATATGCATAGTTTAGAAAATATGCAATACAGTAGTTCTCAAGATGATTTAATAAAAACAGATTCCTCGAACAGTCAGCAAGTTGCAATACATTCAAAACAGATAGAAATGCAGCAACCTAAGACGCCTATGTTGCACCAGAAATACGTGCAAAATACACAAAGTCATATGAACTCCAACGATGCAATCAAACAGGAGCAACTTTCAAATGTTGTTCACAAAACGAAGGATGTGGATTTTGTAAATCATTTTAGTCGCCAGACAAATGCAATTAATTCTGAGCCGTCTGTCACATCAACAACCCCAAAATTATTATCTTCCATTTTGAGATACCCAACAAAGCAAACTGTTGGGTCTTCTGAAAATGAAATGCATAACTCATCCGTAGAGACTGAGCTCCTTTTGTCGTTAATGAAGTTGGTTAAAGCACGTCTCTCAAATTGTTGCGAAATTTGTAAGATGCGAGCAAGTTCAGGTGGTCAGAAAGCTGCTGGTAAACAAATGGCAGACCCTGAAAAAGAGAATAATTTAAATTTAAAGAAAAGAGCAGAAATTTGTGATTCAAATTATAAAAGATGGTTGCATGAAATGACTCTTCGTGGATATGACAATAAATTTTTAACAAGAGCACATCAGTTAGAATACGAACTTAGTGGGAAATTGAATACAGACGTTAAAAGTGGCGAAGATTACGCTGAAGATGTTATAGTCGAAATAAAAAGAAATAATTATGACAACGATTTGCAAAAGAAAACATTGCAAACTCAACAAGCACAAAATAATGGAGTAAGAGTTAAATTACTTGAAACTGAAAAAGACAAGCGCTCAAGAAGCTTGCAAGACACGAAAGTCAACAAAAATGAGGGAAAAACATTTGTAACTTCTAGCGAAAATGAAAGTATTCTTCAAGCCTATGTACACGCTGTGAATTCAGAGCTATTAGATTCTCGAGAATATCACGCAGAACAAACCACTTTAAATCCGTATGAATTACGTGGAAAGTTTTCAAAAAAAAAATTGGCGTCCCATCCAGAAATGACAGAAAAATTAAATAAACCCAAACTGAATAATATTCATACTTTTACAACACAAACCGTGGATATTCCAGATCATATTCTAAAGGAAATTAATTTCCAAACAAACAATGACCCAACTGCTAGCACAAAAATATTGGACATTCTACGGCTGCTTCACGAACTCAGCCGCTATACTGACAATAACAGAATAGAAAAATTTTTATCCGCAAATATTGAAGAACCATTGAAATCTGCATCAAGCTTTGTACCAAAGGAAATTACTGTAACTACGTCGAAATCTCGTTTAACTCAACCAACAAAAAAACTTAAATCGAAGCGTTTGAAGCGCAGAAAATCAAAATCCAAGAAGACTTTGAAAGCCAAATAACCTTCATAAGTAACTATGTGGCTTACCTTCAAAGCTGAAGACTGCGTACTTCAACTTCGAAACTTCAAAACGTGGGTTTTAAATTAAACCATTTAATATATATTACAATATTTTTTTTTTACAGATTTTTTCATTTAAAAATTTTATATTTTATATATTTTTTCACTTCATTTCTATATATTGAAAAATGATTTTTATTTTGTATTTTCATATTGGCATTGCATTTTGTCACATACATCTCGCCTTTAAAAAATATCAATCTCATAAAAAAACTTGATAATGCTTTTCATCACTACCATGCATATTTCGTTTTGCATATTAACATTATTCACCGTTTGTCAACAGTACATCGACTCCATCAATTTCTAAAGAATTATTAGGATCCATATTTAGTTTTAGTCCAAGTTCATTGCAACCTTATATGGGAATCAGACCTATAGATCGCCCAGATGATCCTTGGAGACAAAAGCCTTATGATTTGCACCGACCACTTGTTTACGGCGGTGGCAGCTATGAACCATATTTGACTAACAGACGATACAAACGCGATATCCAAACACAAACACCAACTAATAATATCTTAACACCGGATATGTTGGAACGTTTACTTAAAATAAAAATAGATTTTCAACGCAGGTTTCCAATATTGTACAAATCGTTGCTGGAGCATACTAAACAAACAAAAGTTTCTATAAAGCCGCCTGTTATACCAAGCGATATGTTGCATTCAGTAATGGAGTTAGCTGCTGCAGAAAAGAATCCGGACGATGATTTCAATAGGGAAAACAAATCAGAGCAATACAAAGCGGGATCCATACAAGATGATATAGACTATTTTCAATTTGATGATGCTGATGATTAACTTTGTTGTTATGTCGTATTAAAAAAAAATTAAATCTTTAATTATAATATAATTAAGAAAGTTTTATTTCTCTAGATTTTACCATTGCAAACAAAAATGATAACACAAATGTGAAACAAAGTCTAAACTGAATTAAATACTCTCAGAGTATTATTTTGTAGTTAATTGTATAATTAGATCTTAATACGCATATATGTCCATATCATTTTTGACAAACATTATGATTCAAATTGCTTAATGTGTTAGGAATCAGAATATGAGAATCAGAATAAACTATAATACTGATTTCAAATGTAACGTGTGACTGAATTGTATACTACACTAAAATGCTATACTATAATTTCTGATTAACTCTAAGGCTATACATATAGGTATCGTATACAAAACTTGTATTGTGTATCTACAGTTTGTAGAGCAGAATATGATACGTGTATTTGTAAAGGGTAATAGATCACCCAACTATTCTTTATAAGTTTAAAATTCTTTTTGTTTATATTTTCTGTGTGAAAATTGGGAAGAAGCACTATAATCTCTAGTAATATAGCATTATAGTGTAGTATTATTAGATTTATTTTACTTCATTTTAAATTTGTTATATTGCGCAGAAATTTATAACAAGTATATTATATATATAAAGCTTACTGCTATAGCATTTTAGCAGTCTACCGGAAATTTAAATCAACCTATTAATTATTTATCATAAATATTAAATAAATATTAGTACTAACAAAATTAATTATACAATATAATTATTATATTATGTTACTATAATAAGAATAACAAATCTCATATAAATTGATTTAAAAATCTGTTTTAATTATCTTTTGCCTATATATATAACGCATATTCATAAAATCCTTTAACAATCTCCAGTTGGGGACATTCAATATTTGTACGGTTTCATCGACGTCGAGCGAATGTTTATCAAAGTACAGCATTCTGTGTTCGTTAAAAATTGATCATTTGCTTATTAAATGTATTACATGGTCTTTCAATTTAAGGTTGCATATCGTGACCAGCGTGTCTTTACTTTCGTACGGAATATATTGCTCGTGAAAATAATTATTGACACCTAGATAATAATTTAACTTACTATACGCATCTCTCAAGAAACTGTTTCTTGCCCTTTCTACAAAATTTCTGCGCTCTTTAATACTTAGTTTCGTTATTATATTTTTTGCAACAGTTTTCAGTTACGAGTATCATCAATACCCGAATCATTAGTCACATTTAACTCGAATGCCAGTTCAGACCATTTTTCAAAAAATAATGTTTTATCCTTTATTAGGTACTGCGCTATATATATATTTTGAATCCGATTATCTAGCAAATTCCTAACACGATTGATATGATCAAAAGGCAATATCAATGTTTGGGTATATAGCGTCGGTAGCCCAGTCTCTATATGCACCTTATACTTTGAGGTATTTTTTGGCAGACGAAACGTTATTTTCATATAGAACTCTAAACTAATGGCTCAGATATTGGCCAATATATAAGAGTATTTCATAGTATCATAAGCTATTTCAAAAATTATGGTCCCAGGTGTTCGATTATTGATCTAGATAGATTGAGACAATATCATGAAAGCTGTACAGAAGTTTAAAAGTTGAAGTCGTTGAAAGCATGTTGAGATATGATGAATACATTAAAATTGATTCAATAAGCGCAGTAAAAAGAATAATGATAGTATTAAAGTAAAAAATTTCCTAAAAATCATTTCAATCTTTAATTACCGCTCTTATTTTAGCGTTGTTTAAGACCTTTTGAACAGTTATAGTTATACATATCTCAGTAGTAAATATAGACAAATGGATGAATTTTTAATTTCCAAAAATTGACACATAATATTATACTATTTTATTTTTTATATATTATTGTAGAAGAAATATTAATAAAAAGCCAAACTCGAACCAAAAAAAGTGTTCAATACCAATGGCACAATTACCGTAGTAATAATAACAATTTTTCTCTTTCAATTACTTTTTAAATGAATGTTGCTGAATTTATAAATTTTGACGTGTCACTTAACAAAATTAAGCCCAATTCCGCCAGTGAATGAGTTTATAAAATTATTTTCTGCCTTTTTAAATGGCACACGACCATAAAAATTGTAAGAGTAAAAAGTTATACAGCTTGTAGGTATATAAAGTGTTCTAGTCTTACACCTTAAAGCCTATTGGTAAAGCATTTTGGGAAGCCTCCAAGTACTTATTTTATTTACTTATTTAAAATAAGTACTCAGTTAACATTGTTTTTTTTTTTCAATTTCGTTTTGGCCATCATAAGTATCCAAACTAATGAAGTCATGGTGCAATTACTGAATTAAAGACATGAAACTAAGCTTTCTTAATTGTCTTCCAATTCAGTTTCAATCGTGCAATGAAATCTATGTAAGTAACAATGTTATTTTAAAAATATATATGAAAGTATTTTTAATCGCAAGTTACTTTTATTTATTATATCTGGTGAGGTTGTTTTTAGTATTGTGGAATCAATCCGTACTGTGGCCAGAAACTTTAAGAGAGGTTTACAGATTTAATACCAAAAAAAAAAAATGATCACTTTATCTCGGTTAACTGCCATATCTCAGTGACCAAAAATTTTAACAAGTGCACTTAGTCTATCACAGTCAATTATATCGTCTGTTACTGTTTTTATTATTTTTCGTTTCAAATTAGTCACTGTTGTTGTTATAATAAATAGAAAAGCCAAAATCGTAAGGAGATATCGCATTACCAGAAAATAAAGTCCAGATAACGCTTAAAATACAAATAATGATTAATTTCAGCGTTGGGGCTAACAAAAGGATTAATATTGCATTCATACATATACATATATAGTTATGTTTCTGATGTAGCGTAGTCAAATGTGGTAGCAACTAACAAATCATACATAAAAAATCATATATTTCAAATGTCGTATTTAATGCATTATAGCTTATTTATTGTACACTTTTTTAGATTCTTACATGTAATAAATTTTTGTTGTAAAAATTTTTCAAACGTTACAGAATAATTTTTTTCGTCAATAGTTTTGTGTGAACGGTGCATTTTGCGGTCTTTAGTTTTTGTGGATTTAAAGAAGAAAACGTAAAACTTACACGACCTGACAATTCTTAATGATGTGCAAAACTGATGTGCTATCTTTAATGTACGTATGTTTCCTGGCAAATATGTCCTCGACATTCAGACCAAAGCCAAATGTTCCATTTTTCTATATTAATCACAATTCAAGTAAACACGAAACTGAAAGTTGGGTTTGGCAGACATTTTGTAACTACAAGCACAGGGTTACCTACTCAACTTAAGCTTTTCTCCTGTTTGTGATTTTGTTTTTGTGTGTTTGTTTGGCATACATTTTTGTAATTGTGTTGTGCTGTGTAATTTTGTTAGAATTTTGGATCACTAATTATAATAATTAAACACCTGCCTGCAAGTTTATTTGCGTGTGTATGAATGTGTGTGTGTATGTGTATGGTGATACCCACATAAAACGCAAACTGGGCGGAATAATCGTTTCGATGGAGCCATTGTCTTTTGCCGACTAAAAACCAAGAAGAACGCACTTGAACACACGTATGAGTATTTATGCCGCTGAAATGATTTGAGCCTAAATTTTTAAATGAGCTTAAAATATTAAATTTGTTTCACTTGTACATTATGCCAAACTTTTTAATACTTAAACTTTAAATTGAGTTGATATATTAAATACGATATTTTAAATATGTATTATTTAATATGAAAAGCACTTCCAGGTACGTAGATTGTATCTACAACGCATTTTGTGTTGCTGTCATTAAATGCAAAAGACCCGTTGAGTTTTGTTTAATGCTGAACAGGTTCTCAGATTCATGTGGCTTGCAGTTCAATGTTTATAAATTGTCCATGAAATATGTATAATGTTACTGAAAGAATAGCTCGGCAATAAAATCTTACAAAGGTTACTTTATTATTTATGAGTTGATAATATCTATTGGCAACGGCTCAAAAGGCTCCGAAAAATACCTTCCGTGCTGTGCATAAAGTAATATTTGATTAATAAAGTTTATTAGTAATCTTAATGAATAAAAAATCATTCTGTTAATTATTAAAATATGGTTGTTTCGAATGGTGTTTCTGGTGTTCTTATTATTGTATAAAGTTGATTTAATTAAAAAACAATTGACTTAATTTTAAATTTACTGTATTATATAATTATGCCATTTTAAATTTGATTTATTTTTTATTATAGTTTTTCTTTTTTGCTTTTTTATGCTGAATTCTACTTTCACCTGTGTTCGCTCTTCAACGTTTTGAAATTAAAATATATTAGAGATATTCGTTTAAAAACTTCTATGCAATAGTATGTGTATGAAAAAATTGTCTTTCTACTTACTATACAGATATTCTATGACAAAGGCATGTGATACAGAGATAGTCAATGATACATACTTTAAATCCTTTTAAATTCAAATTTAAAAGGATATAAGGACGTTCTTACTTACAATCTGCCACCAAAAACAAACAGCAAAAATCTCATAGAAAATGTAAAAATATTTATTATTTATTTTATCATTTTATAATAATTGTTAACAAAACTTACAAATTTATACACCTTTACTTAAAATCGGAAGGTGTAAGAATTCGATTATTAGCGTTATTTCGATTATTTAGCTATATTGCTTTCGGGCGTTTTTTTTTGCCAGAATGGATTGTAATTGCAGTAAATTGATCCTAAAAGGCACGAATTTTGATGTTTATGACTGAACATTAAGCATTTGAGCATTTGACATTAAGATTGTTTTGAAAATAAAACCATTTTTAACAATAACATATTTTTTTTATTTCTGGTCAGGCAACTTATTAAACAATATAGCATATGTCAAAGATGCACACATTTTCACACCAATTTCATTACTACACATTTGGAGATACGAGACTCAAAGGATTTTTTTGTTTAACTTAATCTCTAATAACCAACAGTTATTAAAGAAGGTTTTTTTGTACGGTTTTATTTCA